GGAGGCGGGGGGAGGGGGGAAGGGGGAGAAGGGGACAGGCGAGAGCCCAGGCAAGGCCAGCAGCACGGACTTCCAGCAAGGTGCAGCCTCTGTGTATCTGGGAGACTCTGCCAAGAATGGGGGAAACTGAGGCTCAGAGAAAGGCAGGGTCTGCCCAGGTCTGCACTCTCTGCATGCAGAATTGAAACCCTGCCTCGCTTTTACATCTGGTCGTGCCCACTCCCCCCTCCGTCTCTGGCTCCAAAGAGTCCCATGGCTCCCCAGCACCCTTAGAACAAACCCACACACCCCCCCTGTGGCCCCACAAGGCCCCGCTCAGCTTCTGCAACTTTTCATCGGGGGTTCACCCCCACATTGTGGCTCTCTGGCTTATTCGCCTCTGGCCATCCCAGCTTCTAAGTTGTTCCTCCAGGAAAACCAGGCCGTTCCTACCTCAGGATCTTTGTATGTGCTGTACCCTCTGCTCCTATCGCTCTCTCAATGACGTAACGATTTAAAGAATCATGGATGGTCACGTACCTGGTAGTCAGCATTTCAAACCCAGGCCCATCTGACCCTCTCCCCTTTCCAAAGCACCCTGCAAGGCAATGTCATGGTTTGGTTATTATTTGTTTAGTGACAGGGTCTCTCTATGTAGCTCAGGCTGGCCCTGAGCTCACAATGCTCTTGCCTCAGCCTCATGAGTGCTAGGATGAGCAGTGTGAGCAAAGCTCCGTTAAACTCTTTCAGGCCTGCAGCTCAATAAAACTGGCTGCCCCTCAACCTCTGAGGTTCCCCTGCCTGGGTGCCACAGACCCTTGGGTCCCCTCTTCCTGTCGCTGCTCAGATTCCCTCCCAGGGTGGCTGCCATTCCTCCGGCCCACTTTCTGCCCTTCATAGGCACCGATGTCGGAGCTGACAAGGACATATTAGCCAAAAATAATCCTGCGACCTACTCTTGAAAATGGGCCGGCCCCACCCGGCCACCTGGCTCCCAGGAGGCAATTAGCACACGTGGTAAATGAGGATAATTAGATCTGTGGGAAAGAATGGTCCAGTGCCACCTCTCCTTGCTCCTGCAGGATATGGTGGCCACTCTGCTGCCTCTGGTTCCTTCCTGTGTGAGCAGGCTGGGCTCTGCAGTTTCCTGCATCCTTTCACTGAACCAAACTTTGGGAGAGAAGTCCCAAGTTTGCAAAATCACTAACACAGCCCACCTTCCACAGGCCACAGGCCTGCCCTATGCTGTTGGAGCACACTAGGCAGTCAAGAACTACAGAGACACTTTCTGGGATCAGACCTGCCACAGAAAAGAAAGAACTCCTTGGAAGTGAGGGTGTTGGAAGTAGGGATTCTGAGAGATGGATAGCAGTTTTCAAGGAGGAAAAGGTCTGAAATCTGGCCTTTCAGACCAGAGAAGGGAAAGCTTGTGAGTTCCACACCATGTTGCACCCATTTTAAAATTAAATTAAATTAATTACATTTTGAGACAGGGTCTTACTATGTAGCTCTTCTGACTGTAGTGAAACTCACTCTGTAGACCAGGCTGGCCTCAAACTCACAGAGATCCTACTTCCTCTGCCTTCCAAGTGCTAGGATTAAAGGCGTTTGCCATCACTACCTAGCTAAGAAATTACTTTTACTTAAAAATTTTATTGTGGCCAGGTGGTGGCACATACTTTTAATCCAGCACTTGGGAGACAGAAGCAGTAAGATCTCTATGAGTTTGAGGCCAGCCTGGTCTACAGAGTCCAGTGTCAGGAGATCTGTTTTCTGGAAAGAGGATTTGTGCCAGGTTGGTTTGCTGTAGGTTGGGGACAAAGCTTCCTAAGAGGGGACAGTGTCGAAGCAACACATTAAATGGTCACCAAGGCCTGGGCTAAAGGCTGGATGGGAGCTCATGGGGGGCTGACTGAATCCCCAGAGAGAGACAGTTTTGCTCTGGTCCAGCGGAGAGAGAACCTGACAAGAAGCCATCGCTCGTGTGCAGCATCTTCAGTGCCCAGGGATCTGTTTTGGCTCCTGTCTGGTTCCTCCTGTGGGCAGGAGGCTCATTCTTTCACCATCCTCAGCTATCAGGGTCAGTCAAGGAAGGACACCTGAGATCCTTGGAAGGCACTCGCTGGGGTCCAGGAGGAAATCCTTGCAGCCACTTCCCTGTCACTCAGGACAGAAGGGTTGTGGGTGCTGCCTGCGTCCTCCAGCCCCTCACCTTGCCTCAGCCCAGGGTCCAGGTGAAACAAAAACGTGACACATAGAGGAAGCCACACCCACTCTTGGCTTGCTCCAGGCTAGCCCTGTTCTAGCTCCAGCTGAGAGGCCAATGCCAGGTTCAGGTGAGGAACTCTTGTTTGTTTTCTGTTTGTTTCGTTTTTGAGACAGGATCTCTTTTTAGGCCTGGAACTTGCTATATAGACCAGGCTGGCTTTGAAACCAATAGAGATCCACCTGCCTCTGCCTTCCTAGTGTCCAGCTTTGCTGTTTATATCTGATGTAGTATCTCATGAGTCACAGGCTGGCCCTGACTTCACCTTGTAGCTGAGGCTGAACTTGAACTCTCCATTTGACAATCTCCACCTCCTAGGTCCTGAGAAGATGGGCACCTGCCAAGCCTTGTTTCAGGAGTGCTTCTAGCTCTGGAATTCTTTCTTGTGCCCACACATAGCACAAAGCCTGCCTAGGCCCTTAGCCACCCCCACCCCCACTGCCCAATAACCACAGGTCTTGGCTCTGCAGCCAGCTCAGTGCCTGACAGACCAGGACCAGCTCCCAGCCTGCTGCCCTGAGCTCAGATACTTAAAAAAAATATTGCTAATACGGAGAAAGTCACTCTGAACACAGCAGACGGTATTAATGTTACTAATACGGAGAAAAGTCACTCTGAACACAGCAGACGGTATTCTCTTTGTTCCCAGTGTTTGCATGTTCTGTGGCTCCAGGCCTGAGAGAGAAGCCAGATAGCTTCTCTGTGCATACGCCTCTCAAAGTTAGGATTGGTTGGAGAGGACAGTAAATGTGTATCAAGGAGGGTGGTAGTTCAGGGGCCCTTACCTGCCTGTGACTCAGAAATGAGTGGAAATATATCCACATATAATAAATATATCAGAACATCAATGGGCAGAAGGCCAGGAGCCCCGGGAATTCCTAGTTTGGGCTGTCAGAGGCAGGGAACAGAACCACACAGCCTGGAAGGCCAAGGAGAAACACAGATCCTTGGAGAGGATGGCATTCCTGGGCGGGGGGTTGGGGGGGGTGAGGGAGAGAAGCTCATCTCCTGGTCAGAGAATATCTGACTCAACCCCCACTCACTGAAAGTTAGCCACCTGCTCAGATCCCTTCAGAGACTCCAGAGGGCTTGAGAAGAGAAAAAATGTGACATAGGAAATGCAAAGCTGAGAACCACAGATTTGGATTCAGAGCCGGCCATTTGTCCCCAGAACATGGAAGCCCTTGCAGAAGTTTCTAGAAAAGGGCAGTAAGGTGTTTGCCACAGGGTTGGGGACCCACTGGTAGACAGATGATCCCCTAAAGGATCATTGGCTGGCTGCTGACGACAAAGGCAGGGCTCAGCCTACAGCGCTGCAGGGAGTTTGCCCATTCTATGGGAAGACGCTTGCATCCCAAGATCTCACAACTAATAACCTAGTTACTCCCAGAATTTATTTTTGAAAGTCAGGGTCTTGCTATGTACCCTTGGATGGCTTGAACTCACTATATAGACCAGTCTAGCCTAGAATTCACAGAGATTTGCCCACCTGTTCCTTCCACATGGGGACTAAAGATGTGTGCCACTGGGACCAAGGATCTGGGGGCCTGGACGGGTAGCTGCCAGTTGGTGCTTGGTGCTTTGCATACCCCCCACCCTCGTTTGGGGAGCTGGGCTCAAGCTGTTTTCATGCTTCAGTTGCTGAGGGTCCAGGAACTTTTTCTTTTCGAAGAAGTCACTTGAAGGCTCAGGGCCATCCTTAGCAGGAGTCAGGAAGGCGAAGGGTTGTTGTCCACCCATTTCTCCCTATCTCTAGGTCACTGGATCACACTCCAGGATGTCTGCTTCTGTCTCCACACCCTGGTCCGCTACCACCCACCTAACACCCACACTTTTGTCTTCACAGTCCTCAGCCCATCAGCCCAGTGCTCTGCCCCAAGGCTGGTCTGGACAGACCCTCCTTTGCCCCGCACCCTCACCCTTCTCCCCACCCCACCAACGTCGTCCACAGGGGACTGCCACTCCCGGCTGCCCTCCTAGGTCCCTCCCCTCTTCCAGTACTCTGCCGGACCTAGGCCCCTGCCCTTAATCCCTCTGGTCCCAGCCCCTGACTTCATGGCCCCTCCCCCTCCCTCAAAGGCCCTCCCTCCCTACTTCCTTCAGTTGCCTCCCACTGGGTCCCCCTTCAGGAGTCCCTCCTCTTGACCTCCTGGTGCCCTCCCCTTCCTCTGCCCTTCCACCCCGCCCAACTCCCCCCTCCATGTGCGCCCTTCTTCTCTCTCGGGGTCCCCTCCCTCCTCCCCGCCCTCGGTAGCTGACCAGCAGGGGGCGCTGGGCAGAGGCGGGGCGGCGCGGGGACTGGCCGCGATGGGACCGGAGGCGGCGCAGACAAAGGCGCGGGCGGCGCGGGGCTCGCGGAGGGCGCGGGCCGGAGGCAGCAGCCACGACGACGCGGGGTGAGCCAGGCGGGGGGACCCCAGGTTCCGAGACACAATTAGGGAGTGGGGGGGCGGCGCAGGAAACGCAGACGGTTTCCAAAGTTGCGGACTGTGAGGCGGGGCCCGGGTGCTGCGGGGTGCAGACTGAGGGGTTGGGGTCCTGGGGTGCGGGCTCAGGTGCTGGCTGGGGTTCTGGGCCACGAGGCGCGGGTTCATCGGGTTCCTCAGCCCAGGTCCCGGTGTTGGGGGCGCCGCATCGCGAGGTTCTGTCGCTTAGAAAGTTGCGGGTCAGCAGCTCCTGTAGTTGGACTCACGAGCTGCCCCGGCGGGAGTGGGAACCGGTGCCAAGTGGGAATCCGGCGTGGGGCTCCTGGCAGGGTCCCCGCCGCGCGCGATCGCGATTCTCCGCCCCGCGCCGCTGCTCCGAGGCGCGTGACTACTCAGTGAGTAACTTTTCCTAATCATGGCAAGTCTAGGCAGGAGTGGTCCGACCGAAAGGGCCTGGGTTCGGGGACCCCTTTCCCCCAGTCTCCGCCAGTCCCAATAGCGTCCCCGACTCGACAACCCCCACCCCCCTCCGCATAGAGACTTTGGTTTCGGACCTCATGACCGCGACAGCAGCTTCCCAAAACAGCGTGGCGGGGCCCTGACCTCAGACCCCGGACCTTAAGGCCCTGCACCCGCAGGACCCTCCTTTTCCTCGAATCCCCTGAGGTGCAGTTTTGGGGGCATAGGAGAGTTATGGGTACAAGCATTTACAGGAGGCTGGGGGGACCCCTTCTCCCAGTTTTGTTTTCTGTTCACATGGTGGGGAATGGTATGAGCCGCTTGTGTACAGTGTGTGTGTGTGTGTGTGTGTGTGTGTGTGTGTGTGTGTGTGTGTGTGTGTGTGTGTGTGTCTGTTGACATAAGGTCCCACTCTGTAGCCCAGGTTGGCTTCAAAGTTTCAACATTCGTCTTCCCTCATCCTTCCTAGTGCTAGAATAGGGTGTGCCACCCATACCAGGTTTTCATTTTTTCCTTTTAAATGGGCTCCCTGGAGACTCCCACTCAGAGTTATTTGGGCTAAGTGGTCTTTCTCTTTCTTTCTTTCTTTCTTTCTTTCTTTCTTTCTTTCTTTCTTTCTTTCTTTCAAGAGTTATTTATTTATTTTATTTATACGAGTACACTGTAAACTGTCTTCAGACATATCAGAAGAAGGCATTGAATTCCATTACAGATGATTGTGAGCCACCATGTGGTTGCTGGGAATTGAACTGAGGACCTCTGGAAGAGCAGTCAATGCTCTTAACCGCTGACATCTCTCCAGCCCCTAAATGGTCCTTTTGTGGGAGCAGAGAGGTTCTGATTTCCCTGTTAGGTCCCTGGTGGCCTTGAACTCCTGGGATGCATGAACTCTCTGCCTTGGCTTCCTGAGTAGATAGGGCCACAGGGCTTCACCACTGATCCAGCTTTGTCCCGTGTTTTGATGCAAGGCCCTCTGGGAGGAGAGGGGACTGTTGGATGGGAGGGGTGAGTAAGATGTCCCACTAGGTTGCTCTTGACCATGCCCGGTGCCTGTGGGAGGATGCTTGCCCAGTAGCTGGCCACCTGGGCAGTGAGTATAATGCTGCCTGCCAAGGACCAGGCTGTTCTCCAGGCCATCTCCTACCCTGGCAGTTTGGTGGCACTGTATCACCTCTCTGGTGACACTGGAGACCTAGAGGTCACTCAGTCTAATTGTGGGGGCTTCTCCCACAAGCAGGGCCTTTTGGCTGCGCCTATAGCTCAGGTGGTGGAGGGCTTGAGTGGCATGCAGGATGATCCGGCTCCATCTTCAGCACCACATGGACCTAGAGTGACGGCACAAACTGCTGTCCACATTTGGGAGGTGGAGGCCAGATTAGGAGTTCAAGGTCACTATTGGCTGCAAAGTGATTTCAAGGCCAGTCTGGGCTGGGACTGAGGAGGTGGGTGTCCGACCAGCGACTGCTTACTGTCCAGTTTCTTCCTTGATGGTTTTGCAAAGTCACCTGCAGGACTCACTTGGCCTGAGTATCCCTGGAGCCTTACTCACAAGCTCCTTCTTTCCCTAGGGGACAAACAAGTGACTTCTGTCACCCCTCTGGGTGCCCCTTAGAGGCCATCCAGCCCAGCCTGACCAATGTCCACAGCCAGGTGAGCACCCACCCACTCCGGTCTGGCCTTGCCCCTGGGTGGCGTCAGACTCCTGCAGAGCTTCTCTCTCCCCTGCAGGGAACAGCCAATCTTCAGCACCCGGGCGCACGTGTTCCAGATCGACCCCACCACAAAGCGGAACTGGATCCCCGCCGGCAAGCACGCGCTTACCGTGTCCTATTTCTATGATGCAACGCGAAATGTGTACCGCATCATTAGCATCGGCGGCGCCAAGGTCTGAGGGGGGGCGGCAGGCGTGCAGCCACCAGCCAGGCTGGGCGACTTGTGAATCAGAGAGCCTTTGCAAGACCTAACATCTTCCAGAAATAACTCAGGAGTGGGATCTCTGAGAGGGGCAAAGCTGTTTAGACTTTCAGTTATTGCCAGGATGGGGAGATTTGACCTCAATGGGTCAAGAATTTTACTACAGCCCATCATGGGGGGATTCTAGGCAGAGGCTCCACCCATAAGCCTTCTGGTAGGTCCTTATTGGAGGATTCTAGGTAGGAATCAACTACTAAGACAGATGCCTAGGATTTTTTTTTTTTAATTTAATTTTTAACTCCAGTGTGTAGTCCAAGGCTGGCCTTCAACTTGAATGCTCTTTCTCCAGCTGTCTGTCAGGCTGGTTGCTCATTATCATGTCGTCTGACCTGGAATCTTGCTTCCTCCACCCTAGGCCATCATCAACAGCACAGTCACTCCCAACATGACCTTCACCAAAACCTCTCAGAAGTTCGGGCAGTGGGCAGACAGTCGAGCCAACACTGTCTATGGCCTAGGCTTTGCCTCTGAACAGCAGCTGACTCAGGTGGGCAGGGACATGGGCAGTGATTGGCATCTGTGTTCCTCAGGGTGGGCTGACAGGTAACAAGAGTGCCCTGGGTAGTGTAGTAGTCATTTGCCACCTTGCTCCAACTTTGCACACCCCTCATGCCTCTTAGCGGTGTCCAATGGGAGCCTGGACTGGGCACGTCCCCTCCCCCGGAGCACCTCTCTCTAGCTTCTGACATCACCACTCAGTAATGAGTCCATTGTCTTCTTCAGATATGTTTGTGTGCATTTGTGTGTGCTTAGGCCATGTGTGTGCCTACAGACGTCAGAAGGTGGCGTTAACTCTCCTGGAGCAAGGTACAGCAATTGTTAAGGCACCTGACGTAGGTGCTGGGAACTGAACTCGTGCCATTCAGAAGCAGTCTTAACTGCTGAGACATCTCCCCAGCTCCTTGATATTTTTTTTTTTTTTTTTTTTTTTGGTTTTTCAAGACAGAGTTTCTCTGTGTAGCCCTGGCTGTCCTGGAACTCACTCTGTAGACCAGGCTGGCCTCAAACTCAGAAATCCACCTGCCTCTGCCTCCCAAGTGCTGGGATTAAAGGCATGCGCCACCACTGCCCGGCTTCGAATTTTTTAAATTAAAAACATTATTACTTCTATATTTGCCTTGGGTGTGAATGTGTATGGACGAGGTATACCTATGGGTGTACCTATGGAGACGGAAGAGTGGGGCTCGTCTCTCCCTGCCTACAATGTGGGCTCTAGGAACGGAGTTTAGTCATCAGGCTTGTCAGCAAGCACCTTGGCTTTCACTGGGCCATAATGTCACCCCAAATTTGTTTTTCTTTGTTTTGTTTTTCAAGAGAGGGTTTCTCTGTGTAGCTCTGGCTGTCCTGGAATTCACTCTGTAGACCAGGCTGGCCTCGAACTCAGAGATCCTCCTGCCTCAGGAGGATCCTCAGGTAGCCTTCTGAGTGCTGGGACTTAAACTATGTGCCACCACTGCCAGCTTTTGATTTTTTTTTTTTTGTTATTTAATATTTTTATTTGATGTATACAATCTTTTGCTTCCATGCATCTGTGTGTACTTGCATGTGGATGCAGTGCCTGTGGAGGCCAGTAGAGGGAGCTAGATCCCCTGGAGCTGGAGTTACAGACAGTTGAGTCCTGCCTTGTGGGTGTTGGGAACAGACCCTGGGTCCTCTGCAAGAGCAGCCAGTGCTCCTGCAGAGCCATCTCTCCAGCTCCCTATTGTTTTTCTTTTATTTTATTCTATTTTGGGGGTGGGGAGAGTGTTTCCAGATGTGGTTTTTCTGTGTTTCTTTGGCTATTCTGAAACTTGCTTTGTAGACCAGGATGGCTTCGAATTCAGAGATGCACCTGCCTCTGCCTCCTGAATGCTGTGATCGAAGGCCTGTGCCACCACACCTGCCTGGCTTTGTTTTTGTTTTGTTTTTTAAGTTGTAGACAGGGTCTCACAGTGTCACTCTCTACAGTCCTTCTGGCACTAGAGTGCTGGCTCACAGGTGTGTGCTACCACCCCTGGCTTAGTTGTTTATTTAGGGTCTCTCTGGCCTCAAGTAGTCTTACCGCAGACTTTCTAGTGGCTAGAATTAGCCTTTGTCTGGTTAAAAAGTAATACTTTCTGGGCTTGGAGAGCTGGCTCTGTGATTAAGAGCACTGGCTGCTTTTGCAGAGGACCTAGGTTCAAGTCCCAGTACCCACATGGTGGCTCACAGCCATCTGTAACTTCAGCTCCAGGGGATCTGACACCTCTGGCTTCCAGGGGTGTGGTGCCCAGATATACATGCAAGAAAAACACTGATACATGTAAAATTAAAGAAGTTTTTATAAAAAATAATTTTCCTTTTCTATTTTTTATTTTTGTTGATAGTGGGGGTCTCACTATGTAGCCCTAGCTAGTCTAGAACTTGCTATGTAGACAAGGCTGGTCTCAAATTCACATTGCAGCTGAGGCTAACCTTAATTCCTAATCTGCCTGTGTGTGCCTCAAGGGCTTAGATGGCAGCAGCACCCCAGGGTGTAGCTTAAACACTGTGGGTGGGAATGCCCCAGGGGTTAAGAGGTGCTGCTCTTGCAGACAGTGGGGTGCAGTTTCCAGCACCCACACGGTGGCTCACTACCTTCTCTCACTCCATGGAGGGGAGTTGATGCCTCTGGCTTCTGGGGGCACTTATACATGCATATGTCCATACATACTTAACGGTAATAAAAATAAATTTAAAAACAAGTTTTCTTTTAAAAGTGTTTATTATGTTGATTTATTATTTCTGTGTTTGGCTGTATGGGTGTGTGTGTGCGTGGAGATCAGACAATAGCACGTGGGAGTTAGTTCCTCTCCCCATGGAGGCTCCGAGGACCAATCTTACATCACCAGCCTCGTGACGCAGCCACTTACTGAGCCAGCTCAACAGCCTCCTGGGTTGTTTTTTGTTTTTTTGTTTGTTGGTTGGTTGGTTGGTTGGTTGATTTGGTTTGGTTTGGTTTTTGGAGCCAGTTTCACTGTGTAGCTCTGGCTGTCATGGAATTTGCTGTGTAGACCAGGCTAGCACCAAACTCAGAGATCCTCTTGCCTCTGCCTCCTGGGATTAAAGGCGTTCATCAATGATGCCTGGCTTTTTTTTTTTAATTTATTTACTTTTGTTTTTAATGTCTATACATGCCATGCCTGTGTGCATGTGCATGCAGATGCCCCACAGAGGCCAGCAGAGGCATGGATCCCTGGAGTTGCCTGAGGTAGTGGGTGACCTGACGTGGCTTGTCTACAGCAGCAGCCTGCCTTCCTAACCACAGAGCGTGGCTCCAGGCCTCACATGTTCTCTTTAATAAACAAAAATTACGTTAAAGTGAAAAGAAAACGCAGTACTATAACTACAGAACCAGCATTAGCTGTCAGCTGACAAATTCAGGAGAAGGAATGCCAGGAGGTCCAGGCTCTCCCTGGCTGTGGATGTCCTTCCCTGTGTTATGACATACTGGCAGGTGTGAAGGACAGATGGGCAAGTCGCCTCAGGCTGGCCACTCAGCCCGACAAGAACAGAGAGTCCCTTTCCGTGTGGCTCAGAGCTTTTTAATGTCACCTCTGTGATCCACCAAACCCCCTCTGTGTGTCATCCTGATGTACAAGATGCTCACAGGGTTGACTTTATCCAAAGGTCCCAGGGTGACAGGGCAGGTCCAGGTTGGGGGTGTGTTGGGAGATATGGAAATGCTTTCTGACTGTCCCCTGCCTCACTCCCAGTTTGCTGAGAAGTTTCAGGAGGTAAAAGAAGCTGCCAGGCTGGCTCGGGAGAAATCTCAAGATGGTGGAGAATTCACTAGTACTGCCATGGCTCTTGCCTCCCACCAGGTAGGTGTCTCTGCATCCCATGTCTACAGTAACCCATGACTGCCACAGCCGAGGAAGCCATATGTGCTTCTGATGTCAGGGGCCGTGCACTGTGCTAGTGTCTAAGGGTGGCTGGTGGCCTTACCACATCTATGTATGTGTGCACACACATGTGCATGTGCCTAGGTGCACATGTAGAGCTTGGAGGACAGCTTGTGGGAATCAGGCTTGGTGGCCAGCTCCTTTACCTACAAGACCTCCTGCTGGCCCATGCCTCAGTTTTACTTGGGGGAGAGCAGTTTCAAGTGTTCAGATCCCTGTTTCTATAGGTTGTTCCGATTTGGCCCTGAGGGGTTAGTGAAGCTCCAGGCAGGTGGGAGACAGGATTCCCCATCCAGAGGCTCTGGGGAGCTATGGAGGGTGAGGGAAGACGTAATACTGGTTATCATGGGTCAGTTCAGAGCCCTGACCTCAATACCCAGTGACTTCAGTTCTTGCCTCAATTAACCCTACCTCCTACTGTGACCCTGCCTGAAGTGCCCACCGTGACCCAGCCCTGCTCCCTTGTACAGGTCCCTCCAAGCCCTTTGGTCAGCACCAATGGTCCAGGAGAGGAGAAGCTGTTCCGCAGCCAGAGCGCGGATGCCCCTGGCCCCACCGAGCGGGAGCGGTTGAAGAAGATGTTGTCAGAAGGGTGAGGGGGTTGGCGAAGCCTGCTTGAAGCCAGGATGGGCCTGGCGGGGACCTAAGGGGTGTCTTGTGTCCAGACTGAACTTTAGGGTGGCAAGGCGTGGTGTTTCCAGTGTCAAGGTCTTGAATCCCCAGGACAGACCATTAGGATGGTGTTTCTGGAGTCGGGGTACGGGCAGGGATTAAGGGGCGTGGTCAGTGGGATGGGCGTGGTCATGAGGTGAGACCTGTGGGGGCTGGGCTGCTGAAGACGCAGCTGGCTGGGAGTGGGGTGGGGCTGTAGGAATTTGGACTGAAGGCCTGGGAGAGGAGGAAGCAACAGGTTCCTGCCTCATCTGGAAAAGTCTCCCCTTTCCTCATCATTTGTCCCCCCACCCCGTCTCCTCTGACCGTGCCCCTGACCACCCCCATCCCCAGTTTGTGGCTCTCATGGCAATCTGGAGGGTAGGGGATAGGTTTCCAATTTTTTTTTGGAGGTAGGGTCCCGCTATGCAGTTCAGAACTCATTATATATAGCCTAGGCTGTCATCAGCCTCTCGGAGCCACAACTCCACATCGTGGTTTTGTGGTCCCACCCCATAGCTTAGTGTTGCTTTGGCCCTGCTCTTAGTACAGGATACCCTCCACCAGATGCCACCTGTCCTGACCACGCACGCCCCCAGCCCAGTGTCTTCCCTGCAGCTCTGTAGGGGAGGTCCAGTGGGAGGCCGAGTTCTTTGCACTTCAGGACAGCAACCAGAGGCTGGCTGGGGCCCTTCGAGAGGCCAACGCAGCTGCCACTCAGTGGAGGCAGCAGCTGGAGGTCCAGCGTGCAGAGGCTGAACACTTGCGGCAGCGGGTGAGGAACCCCGCACCCCCACATCCCTTCTGCCTCGGGTCAGTCCCCAGAGATCCCATTTCTTGCTGTAAAATGACTTGAAACTGAGAGCTTCATAGGGGTCACCAAGCCCTCCATGTCCCAGAGGACGGTAGGACCACTGAGCTGCATGTGTGCAGGTGGCAGAGCTGGAGGCCCAGGTGGCTGCAGAGCCAGTCCAGGCGGGAGAGAAGGAAGCAACCACTCAGGCTGTAGAGCAGCTGGAGGCTCGGGTGCAGACCAAGGACCAGGTGAGGCAGGGGCAAGATCAGGGACCCTGGAGTGCTCTCCCAGGAATCCAGGGGCCTCTGAGCACACCTAGTGCACCTTCTCCTCTAGGAGATCCAGACTTTGAAGAATCAGAGCACTGGCCCACGAGAGGCTCCTGACACTGCCGAGCGGGAGGAGACGCTGCAGCAGGTTCAGGTTGGCTGCAGGATCTCACCTGTAAGAGCGGCCCCTGGGGTAGAACAGGTCCCATCTGCCTGTGAGTGGAATAGGGCTGTCTATTCAAAGTTGCTAAGCAACCTCATACCTAGTCTTCCCACATTTGAACAGTCTGAGGTCCAGCAGAAACTTAGAGACCTCAGCCAAGAGCACCTGGAGCATCCCCAGTAGATTCCTGGGGAGATGACCCTGCTGTCATTGAGGGTGGGAACAGATTGTGCAAAGGGTCACACCCTCAGAATGGCCCTCCTGAGTACACAGCACTGTATTCCCAGGGAGAGAATCTACAGGAAGGCTGTTCTGTGTGTATGTTACTCAAGTACCATCTGTCATGGGTTGTTGTGTGTAGTGTATGTGCATACATGACCCCACATGGATGCAGATGCGCTGGCATGTGTGTATGAGGGCCAGAGGCCCCTAGTGTCTTCCTCAAAACGATCTTACTGAGCTCAGAATGGCTGGGTGCTGAGTCAGTGAACAGTGGGGACCTGCTCCCACCCGTGAGGTTACAGCTGCTAGCAGTGCCTGGAGCGTTGGATTGTGCTGGGGGAAGTGACTGAAATTCTCCATCTCTTTGGTTCCACTGCCCACTTCATTAAGTGCTTGTTGAGATCACGCTGTTAAGGATGCAGTTCCCTCCTACCATATGGCTACTGGGGATTCCTTCATCTTGGGTTTTTTGTTTTCTTAGTGTCTCTAGCAGCAGCTGATCTGGGACTTGTGAGAGCCCCTGCCTCAGCCTCCCAAGTGCTGGGGTTAAAGGCCTGTGGGACCACATCTGGTGCATGTAGTTTTAAGATTTAGCTATGGGTGTGATGTTGTACGTTAGTGCTGATTCGGTCAGGAGAGGGGTTGGGCCCCTGGAGCTGGAGCTCCATGTTTGTGGGGTGCTTCATGTGGGTGATTGGAGAGAAGGTCCTACTCTGAACCACTGACCCGTCTCTTCAGTCCATCTTGTTTTTACAACCAGGGTCTCTTACAGGCCTGGGGACACTTAGGTTGGCCAGTATGCTCCAGGAATCCTGCCTGCCTCCCTAGCTTTTTATGTAGCGATTGGCTTCCAAACTGAGTACTTTACACATTCACGGCACTTTACCGACCCTGTGGGAGCCATGGACCACATCAGACAGGACTGGCAACCATAAGTTGCCCGACTCCACCCCCTCCCTCCCCTGTAGGCCCTGGAGACCCGGAATGCAGAGCTGGAGCAGCAGCTGCGGGCCATGGAGTGCAACCTGGAGGAGGCGCGAGCCGAGCGGGAGCGCGCACGCGCGGAGGTGGGCCGGGCGGCACAGCTGCTGGATGTGCGGCTGTTCGAGCTAAGCGAGCTGCGCGAGGGCCTGGCACGCCTAGCAGAGGCAGCCCCCTAGTCTGCCCTGGAGGGTCTGCGGCCTCAAGGCGCCCTGGCAGGGACCAGGGGACCCCAGCTGTCTCTGAGCTTTGCACTGTGTAGAGTTTTCTAGAATCCTTGGGCAGTGTTTCTGCCAAGGTTACATTTATACGTGTGGCGTTGCTGGCACCTGCTGTCCGTGGCTGCTGCCCTGCACCCCAGGGACACTGCGAGGGAAGGCCGCACTGCTCATCCCCATGGGGCAGCAGAGGCTTTGGGGTCCTGAGACCCAAAGGTCCTGCACTCATCCCGGCCCATACTCAAGTCGGACTGACAGGTTCAAAGAGTGTTTACTGAAGTCGGGCCACTTGCAGTAGGTTTACAGCTCAGTCCGAGCCTCAGCTTGGGCTGGCTCTTGGGGCCGAGGTCCAGAAGGATGTGACCGTCGGCCAGTGTTCCCTGCTTTCTGCCGCCGAAGTGTCTGCCCCACTTTCTCCTTGAAGCGCCGGTTCTGTTGCTTGATTTTGGCCAGCTCAGCTTTGCGCTTGGCCTCCAGGTCTGGGTCCTGCGGGAGGGAGCTGAGATTGTAACTGGGACTGGGTCCCCAGCCCACCCATCCCCCAAGTCCCACCCACCATTACGCGCCACCCACTCCTGCCTGCCCCTGCACACCCGTCCCTCCCTAACTACCTTCCCCTCCAGGATCATCTGTTTCCGCTTGTTGATCTCCTTCTTTTCATCAAAATGTGAAGCCTCCAGTTTCTAGGGGGTGGGGAGGGGCACAGGTTAGGTCCGGCCCAGCGCACGAGGCCACACCCCACCCCGCCCGCCGGGCTGACCACCCGTACAATTTCACACTCCCTGCGCACCACGTTGACCTGTGTGAGGATTTGCAGGACCTCAGCCTCCTCCACTGCCAGCTCCGCCAGCTGCTGCTCTGCAGGGACAGGAAATACTCAACTGGGCTACGAGTGCAACTGGCCCTCGTCGCCCCAGCTCTGGATGTCTGGATGCAACCAAATGTGGACTGATATTAAAAAAAAAAAGTGCGTGTCATCATGGCACTGGGAGGCAGAGGCAGGGGGATCACTCGTTCCACCTGAGTTCCAAGCCAGCTCTGTAGCACAAGAATCTGTCTCAAATAAAATGAATGAGTGAATAAAGTGGGCTCAGGGTGCCTGTAAACCCAGCTCCCTGAGAGGCTGAGATGGGCTCCCATTGTGAGTACAGGGCTTCCAGGCCACTGTGGGTTACACTGAAGAGAGCTCGCTACAGGGAGCTCCAGATGGTCTGTCTTGGTTTAAGATAGGCTGTAGGGCATGCCTGAGAACTCATGTCCTTGTCAACCTCCAAACCATACATGGACCTTCAGGGTTGATGTCCTGTGTGCAGCGTGCATAGACCTCCCAGGGTAGCTAGGGAAGGGACTTTATCTCCCAGGCTTGGACAGGATCCACTCTGGACCCTGGCACTTACTGATCTGCTCCTCAATGGCATGCAACAGGTGGATGTCATACTGCGTCACCAGTGTGATGGCCTGTCCCTGCCTCCCTGTAGGGACACATCTGTTAGAGAACCTGGGCCCCATCAAGAGGGTTGTCCCAGCTGAGCAGCTCCAGGAACCTCTTCAGAGGCAAAAAGAAGTCAGTGGGGAAGGGGCTAGTTCAGAGGACTAGGGCTCCACCCAGTGTGGGACCTGCATGTGAAAGGCAGAGGGGGAGCAGGGAAGTGGAGGGCAGTGGGGAGCAGCTCTAAACTGGCCTTTGTGAGGCCTCGAAGTGTGCTGCTTTCCCTTTTTGGCTGGGCTGCCAGAAAGCCAGCTTAGTCCTACTCTACTGCCCTTTCTTCAGTGGTGACCAAGCTGAAGCAGACCACTGGCTGACATGCCCACGACCCACAGCAGCCAGCTTCTCAGTGCTTATTTGTTAAGGCAGGGGCCCTCTCGGACTTCCCCAAAACCATGGGGGCAGGATGGCAGGCCGTCTGGCCCCAGCAATCCTGTCTCTCCTGGTTGCAGGCATGATGGCATATCAAAGCAGAAGCCCTTGGGTCCGCATGCCAGGGAAGCATCTCACTGCAGCTGGAGCCTTCCGTACCCGGCTCTGCTCACCTGCACGGGCTGTGCGACCGACCCGATGGATGTAGATCTTGGGGAGTCCAGGGGTGTTGTGGTTGATGACCACCTGCACAGTGGGGATGTCCAGGCCCCTGGAGGTACAGAGCACTTAGCTGGATTCCACGTAGGGAAACCCAGGCTTACACTCAGCTTCCCAGTCTTACCCTGCACTAGGCCCACTCACCTCGAGGCCACGTCAGTGGCGATAAGAATCCGATAGATGCTAGACTTGAATTTGGCCAGGGCTGCAAAGCGCTCTTTCTGTGCCGAGGCAACGAGAGGTTTGTGAGCAGATGGAGCGAGCCTGGGGACAGGGCAGAGGCCAGACAAAGGGGACAGTAGGATGACATGGGGAGAGGGTAGGACATCACAGTGCTGTGATGTCTTCTTTTGTGGGATTTTTTTGGGGGGCGAGGGGAAGAGGGCAGGGCTGTGCTGGGTGTGCTAACACACCTTTAATCCCAGCACTTGGGAAGCAGAGTCAGACAGATCTCTGTGAATTTGAGGACAGCCTGGTCTACATAGAGATCTCCAAGACAGACAGGGCTACATAGAGAGACCCTGTCTCAAAGTACTAAAGACAAAACAAAGCAAAACCAAACCAAACAAATAAACCAAAAAACCCCACAAAACAACACCCCAAAACAATCAAAAAAAAAAAAAATAAAACAACAAAACAAAAAAACTCACCAAAACCAAAGACAGGGTCTCCATTAGCCTAAACTGGTCTTGAACTTCCTACGTAGACAAGGCTGGCCAGCACTCCTGCTCTTCCAGCCCCACCTCCTGAGTGCAGGATATACCACTATGCCCAGGGCTGGGGATGGACCCCAGGGTCTCATACAGGCTGGGCAAGCACTCTCCCAACTGAACCACAGCCCTCCTCTACCGACTGAGCCACTTCCTCAGCCTCTGAGCTGTGACATCTGAGAGCAGAGAGAGGCTGTGGCCACGGCCCATCACCTGCTTCATCATGGAGTGCAGTGCCACCGTGGGGAAGCTGAACTTCCGAAGCATCATACAAAGCATCTGGCAGGTCCTGTGAGAACAGGGTGGCTGTGAGTGCCCAACTGCCACGACCTCACCCTCATGGCCGAGGAGTTGTGGAGATGCTTGGTCTGCTGCCTATGAGCCTCTCAAAGCCAGAACCAACAAGCAGAAGCCCTGACAAGGGTCCTCTGACTGCGCCTGATGGCCACTCTGAGGACATCATTCCCTCTCCTGTGGATAGACAGAGGCCCCCCGCCCCATCTCTGCCCTTCTCCACTGACTCAAGGTAAGAGAGCCAACAGCTATTATTTTTGTTTTGTTTGAGTCAGGGTCTCACTGTGTAGCCCTGGCTGGCCCGGAAGAGCTCTACATGCCTCCTGGGTACTGTATATCACAGAGGCACCAGCAGGGTAGGCCTAGCCCAGTTTCACCTCCGTAGAAGGGAAGGCGGCCAGAGCCTGTCACTCACTTGCAGGTGTTGGTGAAGATGATGATGGAACAGTCTTCCAGCTGGTCCTGGAAGGTCTGGACCAGGTGAACCAGGTAGGCATCCTTCACCTTCTCAGGCACCAAGAGATAGCGCTGGTCAAGCTGCTCCACTGTGCGAACCCTGGAGGTGGAAGGGCAGAGCAGCCTACCCTCAGTTTCTTCTGCCTGAACCCTCTGGGGTATAACCGTCACACACAGCTGTGGAACTCACGGGGCTTGTGCCTCCCAAAAGAAGGGCTGGTTGGTAGCCAGGCCTTGTAGCTCCTTGAGTGTGTCAGTCAGCGTGGCACTGAACAGTAGCGTTTGCCTGCGTGCAGGAACTGCTGCCAGGATGGTCTCCAGGTCTGTGGTGAAGTCGGTGCAACCCTGCTCCAGCAGCCTGTCAGCCTCATCCATCACCTGCATCGGAGTGGCCAGGAGAGGAGGCTGGACCACTGCAAAATCTTCAACCCTGGAGCTGCATATGCTCAGACATAGCCCCAAGCACAGCACAGCCGCCTTTCAGAGACTGGGAAATGGGCTCCTGGATGCTGCTCAGCCGCAAGGCCAGGCCGTCTGCTGTGTGAGGCTCTGGCCGGCCCTCTAGGACAGCCCACCTCCCACATGCCCTATCTCTACTGGGCTTTTTGTTTTGAATGACATAGGGTCTTGCTGTCCTGGAACTATGTAGACCAGGCTGGCTTTGAACTCAGAGATCCTTCTTCCTCTGTGTTCCGAGTGCCGAGCTGGAAGGTGAGTGTCAGCACACGCAGCTGGCTCTTGTCTTTATTTCTAGCTCAGTCATCTGTGAAACCAGTGTCAGGAATGGATGCCGGCTGAGCACAGCTGTGCACACGCACAAGCGGAGCTCCAGGACAGCCGGGGCTACAGAGACCCCGTCTCACACAGAAAACAGAGAGGAGAGGATTGATACAAGGTGCTTCCCAGCCCAGTCTCTGGCCCCAGGATCCCAGGGGGACCCAGCCAGCTCACCAGGAATCGGATTTTCTTCATGTTGAAAGTGTTGGAACTGCGCAGGTGGTCAGCTAGGCGCCCAGGAGTGGCGATAACCACGTGTGGCTTCCGAGAGAGCTCCAGCGCCTGCGCCACCATGTCTGAAGTAAAGGGAGAGGTGGGACTGAGTGGGAGGGGTGAGCAGGGACCCCAGGCCACCGTAGCCTCTCAGCCCCCATACCCATGCCGCCAACGATGATGCAGTCCTTCAGGCCCAGAGGCTTCCCCAGCACCCGGAACTGCTCGGCAATCTGGTAGGCCAGCTCTCTGTGGGTGACAAGAACCAGCTGGATCAGGGGTGCCTATGCCCATCCCCATCCCCTCTACTTCCTCCAGGTTCCTCCTGGCTTCCACTTCCCTAATGTTGATGACCTCTTCAAAATCAACTCTAGGGAGACAGGCAACATGTCTCAGCAGGCAAGATACAAGCTCGCATCTGAAGTTCCGTGCCCAGGCCCCACATGGTGAAAGGAAAGCCCCGATTCCTTCTGCTAGTCCTCCACCTCCACATGAGCACAGTGGCATAAGCATAGAAACAGCAAAGGACATCTAAGGACAAACTGCTCACCGCTGAGGCAGGAGGACCTGAGCTCAGATGCTCAGCCTCTCTGTAAAAGCTCAGTGCGCAGCAGCCGTATCTCTAACTCCAGTGGGTGTGAGGAAGTGCACTGAGGCAGGAGGATTGCAAACATCCTACAATTAATGAGACAGTGAGAGACCATGTCTCAAAAAATAAGATGGGGATGGCTGGGTGGTGGTGGCGCACACCTTTAATCCTAGCACTTGAGAGGGGAGGCAGGAGTAAAAAGACAGTTTGTAAGAGTTTATATTCGGCTATAATTGTTGTGTCTGAGGCTTACTGCCTGTCTGCTGACCTAGGCCTAGTCCTGGGAGCTTCTAGCCTCTCAACAATCCTATCTAGGCCTAGAATGTTTTCAGCCTCTGAGACTTACTGCTGAATAAGCTCATCCTTTCTAGTTCTTTCTGAACTCAGGCTGGCTGATTCAACTCAGCTGTTCCTGCCCTAACTCCTCTCCACACTGCCGAATTCAAACTGGCCTCTCTCTCCCTTGTGCCCCGCCGGCCCCCCCCCCCCCCCCCCCCGAATTGCTCTGGCCTCATACTAATTCTGGAAATCTGTTGTAATCTTCTGGCTCGTTCTGTCTTCACCCGTGTTTAGTTGTTCTCTCTTTCTGCAACCTGTCTGTACAACTGTCCCAGGAAAACTGTACACTGCCTCCTCCTTCTCTCTCCACTGCCCCTCAAGTAGCTTCCCTTTCCTCTCTGTCCTCCTGAGAGTTGGGCATGTGCTATTTTGTCAAATCTTCCTCTGATTCGTCACTTTGTCTGCCACTCATTTAGACATCACTTCCAAGCATGGGTGCTTCCTTCTACAAACTAACTTTACCTTCATTGTTTGGGATTAAAGGTGTGTACTAAGGGCATTCTGTATTCCAGCCAGAGGGATTAAAGATGTGTGCAAAGGCTGAGCCACACCAGAACTAGAGACAAGTAAACAACACAATCTTAGGGTTCACAGTGTGATCAAGTATCCTACAACAGCAGGCATCTCTGAGTTTGAGGCCAGCCTGGTCCACAGAGTGAGTTCCAGGAGAGCCAGGGCTACACAGAGAAACTCTGTCTCGAAAATCCAAAAGGAAATGTATAAAACAGGGGTGGGGAGACAGCTCAGCAGTTAAGAGCTCTTCCACAGGTCCCGGGTCTAATCTCCAGCACGTATACGGTGGCTCACAACTGTCTCTAACAGAATTTAATGCCCTCTTCTGCCTGAGGCATAAGAAATTAAACCTTTTGCAGGGTGTGGTGGCACCCACCTTTAATCCCAGCACTCAAGAGATCGAGGCAGGAGGATCTCTGTGAGTCAATGCCAGTCTGGTTTAGAGTGAGCTCCAGGACAGCCAGGCTTACCCTGGGGGGATGAGTGGTGGGGGAAAAAGAGTTAAAAAAAAAAAAGAGCCGATGGTTCAGAGCAAGTTACTGCTCTTGCAGAAGACTCGTGTAATATACACATCTACTGTATACATAATGTACACATAATCTCCTTTAAATAAAATAAGGCAGAGAGAAACTGAGGATGTCTGATGTTAATCCTTGGCCCACATGTAAACACATACACAATCTCACCTTCTGTGTGATATTTGAGACCCATATTCACAGTGCTCTGATAGTGTCCTTTCAGTTCCATGGCCTGTTCTATGCACAGTGGGACCTATACACCTACAATATCTTTTTTTTTTTTTTTTCTGAGACAGGGTTTCTCTGTGTAGTCCTGGAACTCACTCTGAAGACCAGGCTGGCCTCGAGCTGAGAAATCCACCTGCCTCTGCCTCCCAAGTGCTGGGATTAAAGGTGTGTGCCACACTGCCTGGTCTACAATATCTTTTAAACACATTCATTATATTTCTTTATTTATATGGGAGTGCACGTGCTGTGGTGCTCCAGTGGAGGTCAAAGCCAAAGTCAGTTTTTTCCTTCCACCCCGTGGGTAAGTCCCTGGAGACTGAATTTAGGTCATCAGGCTTGTAGGCAAATGTCTCTGCCTTCTAAGCAATCTTTCTGGCCCAAAAATAGCATTTTGTTTCCCTAGCTGTTAGAGTGGTCACTCTCTCCTGAGTCCTAGGAACACTGCACACACTATTAGTCCTGCTTGACTCTGCATCCCTAAGAGAGGAGTGACTCTTATCCCATTTCACACAAGAGGAAAGGGCAACTCAGAAAGGTCAAGGCACTTGCTTCAAAAAAGCACATCTGAGTGGTGTTCTGGAGGCTCACCTGGTGGGTGTCAGAACCAGGCAGAAGATGCCGTAAGGGTCCTCAGACAGCTTCTGCAGGATGGGAAGTACAAAAGCTGCTGTCTTGCCACTTCCTGTTTTTGCACACCCCAAGCAGTCCCGACCTGGGCAGACAGCAAAGCAGTGTCAGTATGAAGCAAGGGCCATGATTGGTCCCTTGGGCATTCACTCATTACTGTAAGAAATAGATGGGCACAGTCTACTTTTAGTATGAGGTGTGTTTACAGTTCGTTAGTTACAGGTGAGGAGGAGGCACTGGGTCCTTCTCTCCCCTAGTTAGTAGCTGGCACCCACATGTCTTAGAATTCTAAGACTTGGAGAGTTACAAGTGGTCTGCTATGTGACTGAGCTCATGATTATAAAAGGGGGGCAGCTCCCAGCCCCAAACTATTCATTAGATAAGACCTGGGGCCCCCGTGGACCAGTGGGGCGGGGCATTTGGCAAGAGAAAAAGCCCTGCAGGTCTATGGAAGAAAAGGTCAGGAATTTCCCAGATTTGAGGAAAGTCTTCAAAAACTTGCTTGAAATCAGCACACCAGTTATTTTTGCCCTTTCTCTATGCTTGGCACCTCTTTCTGCAGAATGGAATATTAAAAACTTTTATTTTCACTAGTCCCTTGAGCAGGTTATTATCCAATTTTCAACAATTATCATGATTGCTTGTTTGAAACAAGTTTTCAAGTAGCCCAGGCTGGTCTAGAACTTAGTACATAGTTGAGGATTACCTTGACCTCCTGATCCTTCTGCTTTCACCTGTTCAGTATTGAGGCGACTGAGAGTCACCACATCCGGCTCCAAGGATGTCTCTTTTTTTTTTTTTTTTTTTTTTTTTTGGTTTTTCGAGACAGGGTTTCTCTGTATAGCCCGGGCTGTCCTGGAACTCACTCTGTAGACCAGGCTGGCCTCGAACTCAGAAATCCGCCTGCCTCTGCCTCCCGAGTGCTGGGATTAAAGGCGTGCGCCACCACCGCCCGGTCTCTTTAATGGCAAAAGTGAATTGGGCCAAAGAGCACTGACACAAATGCAGAGCCCTGATTTTTCCTGGAGTTTGAAGGCTTCTGTTTCTGTTTGCTATGCCAAAGCCAGCTCTACCCTATTTTTTTTTCAATGTCGTGTTTAGTCATTCACCGAACTCTCCCTATGTTCTCGGGTACTACAGAAATTTCAGAGGTGCCATCCATCACCTGTGTGACAATGCACACGAGTCAGTCGCAGCCTAAATGCCAATGCTGCGGATCAGGGTTCCCGAAACATTCAATGCTACCCTGATTCGTGGGACCCAAGCCGGGCTAAGGAAGAGGGGACAAAGAAAGGCATTAAAAGAGAAGCGGGGACTCACCTTCCAGAATGGCCGGGATGCACCCGAGCTGCACCGGCGTGGGCTGCTTCAACTCCAGCTGTCGACACTGTTCCACCAGCCAAGACGACAGCCCAAGCTCAGCGAACCCCGCCATGCTCCAGACTAGTGCAGAGAACCTAGTGATGAGTACTTCCGGCGCGTGAATGTCACGTCACGCTCACCCCGGAGCAGTCCAGCCTGGGAAAGCTGTGAAAGTGCGTTGGCAGATGAATATCACGTCACGGAGAGCCACTGTGCAGCCACGCTCTCCAAATAACTCAAATAGTCCCAGATTCGACCTCTTTTCAGTGTTTTGGCCCTGAAGGCTTTGTGTTTGTTGACGGAATCCGAACTATAGTCCTTGGGAGGTTTTGCACGGTTTCTGTGTCAACGCTTCTAGGCAGGTCTCCTAGAACTACGTTTCCCATAGTTCCCGGCGGCAGGGCCCTCTTCCGGCCTACGTGTCTCCCAGGAAGAAGGCCGCTTAGAGGTGTAGTGACATGGCTCCTCCGGCTCCCGGCGCGGTCTCTGGCGGCTCCGGAGAGGTAGACGAGCTGTTCGACGTGAAGAACGCTTTCTACATCGGCAGCTACCAGCAGTGCATCAACGAGGCCCAGCGCGTGAAGGTGGGCAGAGTGCCGAGGAGCTTCCGGCGCGCTCTGAGGTTCTGGTCAGAGGACTGTGTTTCTCTTACAGTCAAGGATGGTTTTGAATTTACTGTGTAACCGAGGCTGACCTTGAAGTCCTGCGCCTTCAGTCTCTATTCCTCCAGTGCTAGGATGACAGGCGTGCACCCCTGTGCCCAGCTTCCAACATTCTATTGGTTGATTGACTGGGTTCACTTTGTAGCCCAGGCTGACCTGAAGTCAGGGTAATAATGGTGGGGTGATAGGTGTGCGCCACTGGCTCCATCTTAAAACCTCTTAGTATTTCGTTTCTCTCCCCCCCCCCCCCTTTTGTTTTTGGTTTGGTTTTTCGAGACAGGGTTTCTCTGTGTAGTCCTGGCTGTCCTGAAACTCACTCTGTAGACCAGGCTGGCCTCGAACTCTCTAACTCAGAAATCCGCCTGCCTCTGCCTCCCCAGTTCTGGGATTAAAAAAGGCGTGCGCCACCACCGCCCGGCTCACCTCCCCCTTTTTTAAGTGTCTAAAGCCAGGCATCATGGTGCACACCTTCTATCTCAGCACTTGGGAGGTAGAGGCAGGTTGATCTCTGTAAGTTTAGGGTCAGCCTGATCTTCATGAGGAGTTCTAGGTCAGTCGGATAATACTGTAATCTGTCTTGATAATAGTCCTAAACCGGAAGTAGTGTCTCGTGCCTTAAATACCTGCACTCAGAGGCAGAGGCAGTCAGATCTCTTGAGCTTTGGGCCAGCCTGATCTACATAGCGACTTCGAGGACAGCCAGAGTGCCACAGAAAAACCCTATCTTGAACTGTATCCTCCTCGCCTCAGTCCCCTGCCAAAAAGAGAAGTTTGGTTATAAAAGAAATGGAGTCTCCTTTAGCCCAGGCTGGCCTCAACCCCCCATGTTGCTGAAGAACACTGAATTCCTGATGTTTGTGCCTCCATTCTGGGGTGCTGGGATCACTGTGTGCCCAGCCATGCAGCACTGGGGCTGCAAAGCACAGCTTTGATGCAAGTGCTCTGGGGACTAAGACCCAGCCCTGGTTCTGTTTTCTGTTTTAAACAGTCTCACTTAGCCCAGGCTGTCTCTAAGCTCGGCATTCTTGCCTCAGCCTCCCAGTTGCAGGATGACAGGCCTGTGCCATGATGCTCGGCTTGTCTTTAATTCATTAAAGATGGGACAGCGTTTGCAACAGCCTGCGTTGTTGACAGGGTCACATGTCACTCATTCCTCACTGTGCACTCACGTGGAAGCACAGCATTCCTGCTGGGCTCAGTGAGGGATGGAGCTGATGGAACTCCAGGTAACATAGCCTTGGCAACAGAGGCAGAGCAGGCAGTCAGGAAGTGGCAGGGTCTGGGGCATGGCCAGGGTAAAGTGTGTGGAGCTTATCCTTACCAGGCTAAAAGCTCTGTTTTGTTAAGGTTCTGGACAAGCAGCACATCCTAGCTTTTCCAGTGGTGATGTATTGACTGATGCTGTCTAGCTCCTAGAAGGTTCTCTCTAGTCCCAGGCTCTTCTCCCGTCTCAGAGCAGCCAGATGTGGGATCCTGTCACCCTTAGAACCCTTACATCTCCCTCTGATCAGTACTTTGCGTCTCTGCTTTTGAGGACTTATGTGGTTAGGTGTGAGTTCCTGATTCTGGACTCTGAACTTTAGGAATGCAGGACAATGTTTAGTCACCAGTCATTGGCCCAGCAATCTACTTCAGTGACTCTCTGTGGTACTGGCACCTTCTTTCCTTCCTTTCCTTATGCCTTTCAGGTTTGTGGGATGACAGCAAGGCTCCTGTATGCAGGTCAGGCACTCTTCACCTCTAACCCACCCTGTGTCCTCTCCCAGTGTTGGTTCAAGCTTCCGTTACCTCTCTCTCTCATCTTTCCTTTTGTACCAACAGGCCCCCCAGCAGCCCCACCTCAGACATCAGCCATCAGTCTCCACCTGGAGACCTTATGGTGTCTCGTAGTTTAGGCTAGTCCTTCAGCTGAGTTCCCAGGAACCTTCAGACTGCACACAGGTGGCATGATCGAATATCTGTTTCTTCCTAGCAGGGAGGGCACTAGAACTGTAGGTGGCTTGAGGCAGGGCCTCTCCTTGATGCAGTTTCTGGCCCCATGAGTGCTGCTGGTCCTAGACTGCGGTGATCAGGGACCCCTCAGGGTGTGTGGTCCCAGCTACTCCAGAGGCTGAGGCAGGAGGAGCGATAGAATACATCCTGGGGCCGGACGTTGGTGGCGCACGCCTTTAATCCCAGCACTTGGGAGGCAGAGGCAGGCGGATTTCTGAGTTCAAGGCCAGCCTGATCTACAGAGTGAGTTCCAGGACAGCCAGGGCTACACAGAGAAACTATGTCTCGAAAAACCAAAAAAAAAGAAGAAGAATCCATCCTGGGCGCTCACTAAAATAAGTATGTATACCCACTCACCGCAGAATGGCCTGGCCTGTGTGCCCAGAACTTCAGTGGGTCTAGTCTCCCACGTCTCATTCCCACCCCTGTCAAAACTTCATCGGCTCTAGTCTCCTGTGTCTCATTGCCTTACTCTTTCCAAAGCCGTCAGTCTCTTTCACACTCTAGTGTACAGGCTTTAGGGATGCTGGGAAGGCCTGAACTCTTTTTTTTTAAGTATTTATTTTATGTACATGAGTTCATTGTTGCTGTCTTCAGACACACCAGAAGAGGGCATCGGATCCCTCTTCATCAGATTACAGATGGTTGTGAGCTACTATGTGGTTGCCAGGAATTGAACTCAGGACCTCTGGAAGAGCAGTCAGTGCTTTTAACCGCTGAGCCATCTCTCCAGCCTGGCCTGAACTCTTTATCCTCAGAAAAGTCTCACTGAGTTTAGGTCTAGCCTCAGCCTCCTGGGTGCTGGGATCACGGGCTAGCACCTTCTGCAGCTTCCATTAACTAGGTCTGCAGGTCCATCCTGTTCTTACACTTACAGCTGCAAGGCCCTGGGGCCCTTGGTCCGGAAGCTTCCTCTTTTATGCATGGGGCTGCAGAGGCGGGAGGGTGTTGATGGTGCCATTCTGTGGGTGTCCTTTGAAAGTCACTTATTTAGACAGGTAGTCCCAGCATACAGGGACCGGTTCTCAGCTATGTAGTGAGTTTGAGGCCAGCCTGGTCTACATGAAACCCTGTCTCCAAAACTCCCCCAAATAATAAAATCAAAGGCAAACTCATTGGGCTGTCAAGCACCCAGCAGGGCTGGGGCATGCAGTGGTGCTGCTGCTGCTGGGACCGTAATGGCACTGCGGAATGTAAAACCTGGGATGACGGCGGAGCCTCCTTGGCTCGTATCAGTTGAGATAAGATCAGGGTTTGCCCACTGTGTGCCCTCTGTGGAGGCTCCTTTGGGCCTTCTGGGTCTCCTGGATTCCAGCTAAGGCCCAGAGCTCTCAGCCTGAGCACCACCAGGGCAACTGCCCAGCAGGCTCCTCAGACTCACTCTGCAATCTCCTCCTTACAGCTGTCCAGTCCTGAGAGAGAAGTGGAGAGGGATGTCTTCCTCTACAGAGCATACCTCGCACAGGTGAGTGTGGGCAGCCTGGGGAAGGGCGGAAGGTACTCTGCAGGAAAGCTGTGGACAGCCAGGGGCCTGTGTCAGGATGTTTCATCATGAGGAAGGTTGGGTGTGCGTGGTTAGAGGACAACTTGTCGGACTCCAGTCTGTCCTTCTGTTGTGTAGGTCCTGAGAATTGAACTCAGGTCATCAGGCTCGGCAACCATCTCACATAGCCCAGGCTGGCCTTGAATTCACTATGTAGCCCAGGATGTCCTTGCTTCTCCCGCCTCCACCTCCCTCGTGCTACAGTGCCTAGCTTCATCATTACCCACATACGACAGTGAGGTGTATTTTCACCTGTTGGTTCTAAAAACAGCCGCAAGCTGTGCAAGGTGGCACAGGCCTGTCATCCCAGCACTTGGGAGCCTGAGGCAGGAGGAGCTCAAGTTTGAGGGTACCCTGGGCTACACAGCAAAATCCTGCTCAAAAAGATAAATTTCTAGTGACCTCTGAAAAGGTCTTCTTCACTCTGGCCCAGGGCTGAGGTGCCCCAGGAGGAGCCTGATAAACAGCCTGTCACAGAATGTGTGTCACCAGCCCCAGCCTAGCATGCTCTGTGTACACTGTGGAAAAACTGTGTGTGACATTCCCAATAGGGCATAGTGACACACACGTAATCCCTACTACTTGGAAGGCTGAGGCAGGGGGATTGCTGCAAGTCTGAGAGCAGCCTGGGAAAGAAAGGCACAATAAGGGACAGGTGGCTCCAAAAGTAGCCATAGGTGTCAGGAAGAGGTCTGCCAGGTGAGGGAAGGTGTCCTGACACTGCTGACATGCGTCCCCAGCTACAGCAGCAGGGACAGCGTGACACCCTAGCTGCCTACTGTTCATGCACATGGCACTGCTGGTTTGAGCAGTGTGTTGGTGATGTGGGCTGTGGAGGGACACGAAGCCTTCAGGTGGGAGGGACTGATATGCACCTGTGACCGCAGTGGAAGTATGGCGTGGTCCTGGACGAGATCCAGCCCTCCTCGGCTCCAGAGCTCCAGGCTGTACGCATGTTTGCTGAGTACCTTTCCAGTGAGAACCGGAGGTAAGGCTTGACCAGGGCGGTTGCCACTAGATCCAAATAGCCTGCAGCCCAGAGTCTACTCCAACCTGCAGAGAGAGGGTAAGATGTCCTCCCTTCCTACCCCTTCACTTCTGGTGTCTCCATTTCCCTCCTGCTCAGTGGAGGTGGAGACAGTCTGCTGCAGTGCTGTATGAGGAGTGTGATGAGCATGTGCCTCTGGTAACCAGGGCTCGGCAAGCCCTGTCCTAAGCCTCGGACCCAACAGCCCTGCCCTTCATGGCAGTGTGCTGGCCGTCCCCAGGGTACAGTCTCTGGCCTGCTTCATGGCACAGAGGCCTTTAGGATTCTCACCACCCAGAAGGTGACAACTTCTGATGCAGCTTCTCAGCTGTCACATGCAGCCCCCCAGCACGCAGTTGGCTTGGAGTGCCTGCTCACACATCTCCCAACTTGTTCTGCCGTCTGTGTGAGAATGGTGGCTGGCCCCTGATGCTGCATGTTAGGATCGCTTGGTGCTCTGTAAACATGGCCTGGCCGCTCTGTTGCTCATTCCTGTGCACCCCTGGGCTGACACACCTCTGCTCCTGAAGAAGGGGATCCCTCAGAGGCGTGAGGCCAACTCCTGCCTTAGCCGCACAGTGAGTGGCCACATCTCGCAGGGACAGCATTGTGCAGGAGCTGGATCGAGAGATGAGCAGGAGTGTGGATGTGACCAATACCACGTTCCTGCTCATGGCTGCCTCCATCTACTTCCACGACCAGAACCCAGATGCAGCCCTGCGCACCCTGCACCAGGGCGACGGTCTTGAGTGGTGAGTGGCCTGCAGCCTGCTGCCTCCAGCTTCTCTAAGACAGGTTCTCACTGGGTCCAGGCTAGCCCTGACTCCCACAAGTTGTCCTTCCTCTGATCTCCACACTTGTGCTTGGGCACATGTGCACACGCACGCACACACACAAATACAAACAAAAGAGAACTAGGTAAGTCCAGGCTGAAGGATCCCAGAGGGAGGGTAAGGGGAATATAATCAAGATATGTTATATACATGTATGAGTTGTCAAGGAATGAGCTTAAAATTATTTTAAAAAACCCAAAAAACCAGGAAGGAGGGTTAAGCAGGGCAGGCAGATACCTAAAATCCCATCTCCTAGGAAACTGAGGGAGGTGAATCAAGCCCATATGTCCATCCATCCATCCATACGTACATACATACATACATACATACATACATATTTTCTCCTCCCTAATTTGGGGACAGACGTGCAACAGTGCGAGTGTGTGCTGGAGGGCAGAGGACAATATACAGGAGTTGGTTCTCTCCACCATATGGACCCTGGAGGTCAAACTGAAATCATCAGGCTTCGTAGCAAGTGCTTACCCTCTGAACCATCTCTCAGATATCCTAGGGTTTTGAGGCTAGCCTGGGCAACACAGTGAGAGAGCTTGTTTCAAGTGGGAGCGAGGAGGCAAGAGCTTCTGCCTGTCATCTCAGAACTTGGAGGTAGAGTAAGGATGGTCTGGAGTTCAAGGTCACCCCCAGCTAATCTAAAATTTGAGTCTAGCCTAGGCTACATGAAACCCTGTCTGAAAGAAAAGGGCAGATGATGACAGGTTCTGTCTTGGAACTGGAGGAAAAGTAAATAGAAGATGAGTGGACACAGAGTTGGCAGCTACAGGGCCTGGGACCAGCCCGCCCAGAAGGGAAGCAAGGGATAAGTGGCCACATGCGTCATAGCTTCCCAAGAGCTGAGACAGAGGCTGAGGTACCCTAGGCCCATGGCATCAAGCAGTGTGCTGTGTTGTCACCCCACACAGAGGCCTGCAGAGGAGTGCAGTCAGCAGGCTTCCCTGCAGGTCTGTACAGAGCCCAGGCAAGATCCCCATCCCCTGCCATCTCACTGGAAAAGTGGAAGTCTTTCTCTTGGCAAGGCCAGGTACCTGCCAACCACTGTCTCTGCCCTGTCCACAGCACGGCCATGACGATTCAGATCCTCCTCAAGCTGGACAGGCTGGACCTAGCCCGGTGAGCCACAGCCAGGACCACAGTCCCCAGACGTCAGCCTCAGCTTCCCTGGAGTTTCTTACTTCTTGTGCCCCATACAAGTGACACACCACCCTTTACCTAACCTCTACCTGGAGCCCTTTACAGGGAACAAGGGTGTGGAGACTCTGTCAGCTTCCTCTGTAATGCTGTGGGTGGACACTGCCCTGTGGCGTGATGGGAGGCTCTGCACAGGACATGTGGGAAGCCAGGTCCTATCACAGTTCTTTGGGGGATGGGGTGGGGGTTGTTGGGGGCAGAGTAGCAGCTCCCTAGGCTATGGCAGGGCTGGAGCTTACCACACAACTGAGCTCTGTCTCTGGGTAGCATCTCTCTGGATCTGTACCATGTGGGGCAACAGGTGGGCCAGCCATGTCTTCGTATCAGCTGGACACAGACTAGTAGGAAAGTATGCCAGGGTCCATCCCCAGGCTCTGGGGTCCCCAGGCCACTCAGTGCCCACCCTTCAATGTCCCAGGAAGGAGCTGAAGAAGATGCAGGACCAAGATGAGGATGCCACTCTCACCCAACTAGCTACTGCTTGGGTCAATCTGGCTGTGGTAAGCTCCCCAGGAATAGGGGCGGGGGTAGGGACTAAGAAGTGTCACTCCTGTGGGTGCACTCCTCTGTTAATCCAAGCCTCACCTGTAGCATAATGGCAGAGCCCTCCAGACATGGGAGAGGCTCCTGGAGGAAGCGGTCCAAGCCAGGCAGCTAGCCCGCTCTGTGTGTCTCCTGGATTGGGAGTGGCTCTGCTCTGCTCTCAGCCTCCTTTGACAGGCTGGAGACAGGCTGGGTATCCTTGGCTCACACTGCCTGCCTCCTGCCAGCTGCCCTGTCCTGGTTCCTGGGCTTGGCATCTTTTCTGAGCTCTTTTGTCTGGTAGCGTTTACAGGAGAGCTCAGCTCTGGCCTCTCAAATGCTCCTGCTCTTGGGTGAGAATGACCCCAAGCTTTCTGGAGGTTTACTTTCTTATCTCCAGTTTGGGTTTTTGTTTTTTTCTTTCCTTATGGGACTGGCATGGAACCCAAGGTCTTACTCGTGCCAGGCAAGTGCTGCAAACTAAACTGCACCCAGCCATATTTTACTTACTCTTATTTAAATTTAGCTTTGAGGGATTTTGTTTTGCTTTGTTTTAAAGGCAAGTGTCACATAGCCCAGGATGTCATTGGATTGGCCATGTGGCTGAGGCCGTTTTAGAATTCTGATCTTCCTGTTTCATCACTCTAGTGCTGAGATACAGGCATGAACCCCACACTCTGCCCCTCCTAAAGATTGGTTTGTGCATATGCATGCAGTGTCTGAAGAGGCCAGAAGGGGGTGTCAGTTCCTTGTAGCTAGAGTTCCAGGTAGTTGGTGGCGTGCCCAGTGGATGCCTGCAATGGGTCCTTTTAAAGGATAGCTGCTTACCCATCTTCAGCTCCTTGACCTTTTTAAAAATTTTTAATTTTTGAGAGCACTCAGGAGGCAGAGGCAAGTAGATCTCTGTGAGTAAAATACCAGCCTGGTCTACAGAGTGAGTTCCAGAATAGCCAGAACTACACAGAGAAACCCTGTCTGGAAAAGCCAAAAAGAATGCTAATTTTTATTTTAGACAGAACTTTATAAGGCCTCACGTGGTGGCTTTGAGTTTACTCTGTAGGCAGGCAGGGCTAGGACTGCATGCTTGAGTGTCCTGGGATGGGGTGTGCATGTGCAGAGGGGCGGAGCTCTGGGGCTGACGTCTGGCAGCAAGCACCTTTGCCTGCTCAATCTTCTGAGCAGCCAAGGCTTGAACTTCTGTCCTGCCTCAGCCCTCAGAGTAGCTGGGCTTACAGTCTCTCACAGGCTGCACTGCTTTTTACTGTTTTGAGACTCACTGTCCCTGTGGTCCCAACACATACACCACATCCCTGGAGCCCTTCCCACAGCATCATAACAGTGGTTAGAGCCAGGCAGAGTGGCAGGAGGGATGTGTGGCCCATGTGCGTCTCACAGCCCTCTACCCAGGGTTCTCTGCTGGAAGGAAGGTGGGGCCTGAGCTGATCTGGAGAGGGTCTCTCCCTGGGCTGTGTCATGGAGGGTGTCGGGCCAGCAGGTGACCAGCAGTTGACACAGGTGTCCTCACAGGGCGGTGAGAAGCTGCAGGAAGCCTACTACATATTCCAGGAGCTGGCCGACAAGTGCTCGCCCACACTGCTGCTGCTCAATGGCCAGGCAGCCTGCCACTCAGCACAGGGCCGCTGGGAGACGGCGGAGGGCGTGCTGCAAGAGGCACTGGACAAGGTGGGTGGGCACACCCTGGCTGTCATGGACATCCCAGCACACCGTTACTATACCCCAGACAATTGGAAGCGCATAGCTGGCCATGGAAACCATTGATTCCCTAACTAGTGAACACGTGTGCTCTCCAGAGTCACGTCCTCCTCAGCTGCCCGCTGTGGGGCGCTCCAGCGTGACCCTTCACCCTGCAGTCCTTGTTACTCAGTGTCCAGAGTACTGGGGTGATGGGCCTGACTTGAAATTTAAGAGGCATACAGAGGCACACAGGCATTGTGGCACGATGGTCCCTACAGAGGCAGGTAGATTTCTGAGTTTGAGGCTAGCCTGGCCTACAAAGTAAGTTCCAGGATAGTCAAGGCTGCACAAAAAAAAAAAAAAAAAAAAAAAAAAAAACCTGCCCTGGGAAAACGAAAACAAAAAAATAAAAACAAATTGAGTAAGGGCCTTGGGCTGAGGCGTGCCCTGTGCTGTCCTTAGGAGGACACGGGCGTTGTCCATGCGCTGCCTTCTGTGTACAAGGCTCTGAAGTGTCTTAAGGACTGGGGAGAAGGCCTGTCACCACTGCACTTGGGCGTTTACGACAGGAGGATTATGAGTTTGTATGGAGTGAGCTCCCTACAAGGGAAGTCTGCAGTTCCTGCTGGACTACCACCAGGCTCTTACACCACACACAGGCTGCTGGCTGTGCCGGACCCGGGTCCATCATTAGGACAGTGTCCATGCCTGGCAGCAGGTGATCAGCAGAGACCATTGTGGCCACAGGCTTTAGGGATTTCTCAAACACAGGGGCACTATTGTGGGACTTGGCACAACTAGTTTTCTGTCTGCTTGTTCCCAACCCTCAACCTAAAGCTGGCCTGCCATTCCTGCCTCAGTGGACAAAGGCTGGTGACTTTGGGGGCAAGGGTGAGGGTGGTGACTTCACAATTAACCATCAGTTTAGTGTGTAGCTGTGGGGCTGTAGCTTGCGCATGGGCGTGGGTCCTGTTGGGCTGAGTTGTGGTTCCTGGAACCGCAGCTTGGAACAGAAGTGTGGGAACTCAACTAAAGCCACAGAGCTCCACTCCAGGCGTGGGGAGATCCCAGTCTGAGGTCCCCCTGGGGTGGAGCTCTTGGGTTGGTGACCCCCAGTAAGAAGGCGCACGAGGAGGATCGGTTGGTCTCAAGCCCTTGGGCTCCCAGATGCCACTGAGAGGCCGCAGAAGGACCAAGACATGACAAGAAAATGAGCTCCGCCAGTGCCCCGTGGGGAAATGAGACCCTGTCACCATGGTGACTTGCTTGGCTGGGCCTCGGCTGGCTCAAGTTGCTTGCTTGAGTTGGTGGACTCTATGGCTGGAACACAGTGAGATCCTTGGCGCAAGATTAGACTGTGGCTCGGTAGTTGAAGACCTTCTCCACAACTGCCCACAGCGGGCCCCAAAGATGAGAGGAAGTCCATGATTTTAAAAGGTTTATTGTCATAGCGGACTCAGGGCGGGCCTGAGGTTAAATACCTTTTGCAAGTGGAGGAGGGCCTGGGAAGGAATGCTTAATTGGCTACGCCCTCTGGCCTTTAGGTATCTCATTAATATGATCTCTTGAGGCTCTGCGGCCTGTAGTCACGCCCTCTACCTCTTCTATGTGACACAAACCTCTCTTTGGGAGGGGCTGTAGAGGGCTGCCCTAAGTGAAAGGAACCAGGGCCCAGGAGAAAGGCCAAACACGTACCATCCCTTTACTTGCCTTTACGGTCTCCTGGGTTCAAGGCCTGCGCTCGACCAGGTACCCAGCTGCCTCTCACAGCCACCACCCCACATGGAGCAGGGGAACTTGGTGCCCCCAAAGCTAGGAGGACAGATCCAGGCCAGGCTGAGCAGGAGGCACAAGGCCCTGGTCCCTCTGCCTTGCAGAGTGCATAGCAAAAAAATCTGGGACAGCCTAGTACTACCTACCTTCTCTATGATAGCTTAGGCTAGCTCTTTCTGGCCTCAGTCATGTTGGTCTGGATTCCAGGCCTAGGTTTTGCTGACTGCCTATTCTTCATTTTTCTCCAGGACAGCGGCCACCCTGAGACCCTCCTCAACCTCATTGTACTGTCACAGCACCTGGGCAAGCCCCCTGAGGTAGGCTGTAGTAGGCCTCAGCCCCTGAGGTAGGCTATAGCAAGCCTCAGCCCCTCAGGATGGTGGTGAGGATGGGTACAGGACAGGCAGGGACCGCTGGAGACCTAGGGGGAAGAGGAAGCTGGTGCAGCTTTCTGCAGAGGTAACCAGGATGCAGCTTGCTGAGCTGTCCCAGTCAAGGACAGCCATCCTCAGCGCTGCATAGACAGGGCTGGGCTGGAGCTACCTCCCTTCTAGGTCCTAGAACAGTGACTCTCACCATGAAGGTCAGATGAACCGTCCACATATTTGCATGTAGATATTTACATTGTAGTCGATAACAGTAACAAAATTGCACTTAAGAAGTAGCAAAGAACATTTTATGGTTGGGGGTCAGCACAACATGAGGAACTGTCACAGCAGCAGGAAGGTTGAGAACCTCTGTCCTAGAATCTAGGACACGTCCTCTCATCAGCAGTCACCCTGTCTTGGCCACTCCCTCCCTGCAGCCTGTGCTGCATACCTGAGACTAGCTATGGGTGTGCTGCCCAGGTTCTGTAAGCATATACTGGCTCTGGGGTGGGGGTGGGGGTCAGGCTCCCTCCCTTGCTCCCACTCTATCCTGCAGGGTGGAGTCACTTTTGGTTTCCCATATCTGGCCAGCTAATTCCAACCCACTCTGTTCAGGTGACAAACCGATACTTGTCACAGCTAAAGGATGCACACAGGGCCCACCCCTTCATCAAGGAGTACCAGGCCAAGGTGAGCAGAGCATCGTTCCTAGGGATGGGGTGGGTTCCTCTTGGGAGGGAGAAGGCTGTGCTATCTCATGTGTGGCCCATCTCCTGCTATAGGAGAACGATTTCGATCGCCTGGCACTACAGTATGCACCCAGTGTCTAAGATGGAGATGCCAGCTGTGTGTTGCGGGATGCTGCCGTCCCTTCCTTGTCTGCCAATAAAGTCTGTCCATCATCTCTCTGCCTGATACCCACCAGGAGCTCACTGTGACAGGAGCGGGACTTGGAGGAGAGTCCCAGGCTCCCACCTCACTGGACACCACCAATCCTGCACTCCAAGCTTCAGGGTACCCTACTATGGTCCCCAAGCCTCCCCCTGTCCCGCAGTCCCCAGGTAGCCTCAATCAGCATCCAGGGAAACTGAGGTACAGACCCATCAAGGCAGCCACCAATGAAGGATGTTGCCGCTCACATCTAGGGCTCTAGAGCTTATTGCCCGGGCTGCTGCATTGCACAGGACGATGGGTGTAGGGCGCTGGCAGGATGGACCCATTCTGGGCCCTGCCTATCAGACTTAGCTATAGTGAGGAGCTCCAAACAGGTAGGATCCCACTGGACAGGAAGGAGGGGGACTAATGAACCCCATGCTGGCTCTGGGCCCCTGGTTGTGCTTGTGACCTCACCTTAACTGCTGAGGTAGCCATCTGACACCAACTCAGATGCCACTGCAGTGCAGCCACTAGTACTTGGCCCTGTGGCAGGAGGGGACAGGACACCAGTATCAGCCTAGCACGGGCACCATTAGGGAGCCCTGGTCCTGGGCCTACACCACACATCACCACATCTCATTGGCAGGCATCCCAGCTCCACTGCCAAGAAGAAACTCAGGCCGAGCCGGCTTTTTCACTTACAGATGGGCACTGTGTTTGCCAGATAGCACCACAATTTGCCAGGAGGGACTGGGAAGGGCCCCAGCCCCTACCCTGTCACCTAACAACTCAGGAGCAAGTACAAGAACCCCCTCACCCATGGGGGTTTCCAGTCAGGAACACTTGAGTAGTGGGGTACACCTATCATGTTGATGCTGTGGGAGGGTTGGGTTCACTGCCATCCTCGGCTGCATCATGAGACCCCGTGACATGCTCAGTAGTGGGCCTCCCCAGATGCATGACAGTCCAAGTTTGGGTCCCTGGTACCCACATAGAAGCCGAGGGCACAGGTGGGTCGTGTCTGTCTCCAGGGTTGGGGACTGGGAGTGGGAGACAGGAAGCTCCCTGGGCTCATTGGCCACCTGGTCTAGCTGGACCAGTGAGCCCTGTGTCAATGAGATCCTGCCTCAAAGACTAAACAGCAGGGGCTGGAGAGGTGGGGCAGCAGTTCGGATCCCTGGCTGCTCTTGCAGCGGTCCAGGTTCAGTTGTCAGTGTGTAAGTCTAGTTCTAGGGGATCTAATGCCTTCCTTGTCTCTGGGCACCAGGCAGACAAAATACACCAAATGACCACATCTTTTTACATGGTGGGTGTGGGAGGGCTGGAGAGGTGGGTCAGTAGTTAAGCATGGGTACTACTCTTGCAGAGGATTGGGCTTCTGTTCATGCAGCCAACAGCAACCTGTAGCTCCATCTCCACAGGGTCTACCTTCCAGTCCATGGGCACTTACACTTAGGTGGCATGTGTGCACACAGACACATACACATCAAAGATTTTAAATACTGATGGAGGAAGACAGTGGACATTATTTCTGGCCTCCGTATGAATACCATTGGTGTGCATAAGTGTGCACATACAGGAGGCTGGAGATGTGGCCCCGGTGGTAGAGTTCTTACCAAGCATGCGCAGAGCCTGAGTTCCACGGCCAGCAATGAATAAACTACACATGGCCGTGCAAAGCTGCCTTCCGAGCACTCAGAAGACAGAAAGGAGAGTCAGGAGTTCTAGGCCATCCTCAGCTACACAGCAAGACAGTACTCAGTTGGAAGATCAGCACAAGAGGCCATATGGCTGGAGGAGCCAATGGAGTAGAGGAAACTGAACAAGCTAATCTTTATGGCTTTGGCTCACTGGTGATGGAACAGTGGAGGTTGGTCTTTGGACAGTCCTTCCCCCACCACCACCACTACCATTTGTCAGCTCCACCCTCACAGGCTCCAAAACAGTGGGCTAAGGGTGAGTGCCGACCCAAGCATGGCCCAAATCCCCCCCCCTTTTTTTTTTTAATTGTTTCATTGCTTTTATTTGTGTGAATGGGCGCTCAGGTGGAGGTGAGAGGATAATTTGTGAATGTCAGTCTGTCCTCACCTTCACCGGCTGAGCCACAGCCAACTTGACCGCAGAAGAGCCCCCAGGGCAGTCGCAGACTGAGCAGTGGACCACTTGCTCTCAAAGCGGCACCACGGGAGAGCCGGAGGGGTGGTGCCCAGTATCATGGGGGGCAGGGCCTGAGAAACCACGCCCCTTCTTGGTCTGGCGGGGACCGCGCGCCCCCGGCCTGGCTGCAGCGCGCTTGACGCGAGGACGCGCAGCAACTGGGACGGGTGCAGGCAGCAGCGGAGACGGCGGACGAGCGGATAGCATGGCTGCTGCGGCGACGACCACCGGGCTCGAGGCGCCAGAGCCCATGCCGAGTTACGCACAGATGTTGCAACGAAGCTGGGCCTCAGCGCTGGCGGCAGTACGGGGCTGCGGGGACTGCGGCTGGGGACTGGCGCGCCGCGGCCTGGCGGAGCACGCGCACCTGGCTGCACCCGAGCTGCTGCTAGCCGTGCTCTGCGCTCTGGGGTGGACAGCGTTGCGCTCGGCAGCCACCACGCACATCTTTCGGGTCAGTAAGACCTGGGGACCCCTGAGAACTGCATATGGGAGAGTGAGTGGGGCCTCTCCTCACTTATTCCTATGTCCATGGTGGTGGCTGGGAAATGGGGGGCTTGGATCTGGAGATGCCCAGGATGTTGGGGCCTCAGGCTATCGCGAGACCCTTTGCGCGGGTTGGGTGCGGGGGTGTGGCTGAATTGGGGTGACGCTGTGATGGATTTGGTGTCCAATATAGCGTGGGATGTTCTGGGTCCAGGGAAACAAGATCCACACCCTGTCCTGGGTCGTTTCGATAGAATCTAGGTTATTTGCGCCATACAACCTCTGGGCTGTTGCGGACCGGAGGACGGACCTGGGGCCCTTCCTGAGGCTCAGCTTGGGGATCAAAGAGCCTACATCCTGGACCAAGAGGCCTCGAGATATACAGAGGTCACCCGTGCCCTGCGTCACGGGGAGCTGCTGAGCCTACACCCAGTCTGTACAGTCGAGGCTCCGCCCCTGTCTGGGGTCCACATCACCCCCAACTAGTGATGGCACAGACTTGCGTGTCATGGGGCAGCAGAGGGGCTCAACCTTGGAAATGACCCTGTCTGTGTCAAGGATGGATTCTGCCGCCCCCATGGGGTGATAGTCAAAATGTTCCCTTTCTGGCAACTAGGAAGGCCACCGCCCAGGTCTGAAGATTGACCCTGTAGTGATTGTACTGATGACATTGGCCCTGTGAGCCTATTCTTTACCTCTCCTGGGGTGAGGGGGTCTTTGTGCCATTTGGGCCAGTACCATGGTGGATACTCCCCAGGGGACTAGCTGGGGACATCCCATCCCCGTCTAACTGAAAGTGGCAGGGGGGTGCAGGGACAGAGAGCATTGTGCCAACAAAGGGGCCTTTCTCTTCTGGTGGGAAAAGGCTGTTCCTTGTTAGGTCAAGACAGGGTGTTGTCCAGCTCCAGAGCCCACCCTGCCTGGTGTCACCCACTGGAGGGATCAACTTCAGCACCCAGCTGCTGGGGAGAAGTCGAGGCAAGAGTGAGAAGGGCCGAGGCGCAGGCGCCGTGCAGCCATGGTCCCCATCTGCCTTGGCCCAGACACCCTCTTGGCGCCCAGCTGGGATGCTGGAGGTCTTGAGGCGGCCTGATGCCACCTCAGTTCCACCCTCACCCTTCCTTAGAAAGGGGTGGAGGGGCTGTCCCACTATCCAAGCTCAACTTGGCAGCAGCCTGGTTGCTAGGGGTTACAGGAGCTGGGCTCTGGCTGTCTCCATGACAACTGCAGAGTGCTCTGTGCTCCTTGGGCCCCCTCAGCCTTCAGAGGAAGGGGGCTGGGTTTGGTGTTCAGCTTTGGAGCTCCATCCCCAGGGTGCTGGAGCCTTCCCTGACTCTAGTCTGCCTATTCTAACTGTCTTTTGTAGTTTTTGAGACAGTCTTTCACTCTGAAGCCCAGGTTGGTGAAACTCATAGCAATCCTCCTGCCTCAACTTCCCAAGTGCTGGGATAATGCACCTTCTAATTCAGGGCACACTCTCCTGTGGCATCTCTGTGTCCCCAAAGTCAGGTTGCAGCACCACCACATGATTCCCTTTCACCTTTGTCCCCTCCCCCTTCTCCCCCTAACACCACCCCGTTTCTCTTAGTAGACTCCATCTTCACAGTCTTTGGTCCCCCAGCTTTCCCTCCTAGGTGCTCTCTCATACTCAATTTCCCTTCCTGTCTTCCTCCCAGGGTGGTGGAGCATTGGTGTTTTCAAGTTTTCCTGTCCCCTAAGGTATTTTCCTACAACAGTCAGGTCATCCTCCTATCTCCCTCCCTGACACACCCCCATTCCCTGCTAGGACCTAAGCCCCCAGATTCCCTGGGCTCCATTGCCTAAAGCCTGAGTGTGTTACCGCACCCTGCCCTCTCCCCTTCCCTCTCCTCTCCCCTTCCCTCTCCTTTCTCCAGGCCACACAGGACAGCTGGGTGCTAAGTTTAGCCCTTATGGGCTGACACAGAGGCTCTGGTTACCCTAGATGATATGGGCACAGAGGCCCAGCCTTCTCAATGCCACCGAGCCTACTGAGCCTACTGAGTGGGCCTCCCTTTGCCCAATGGAGGAGCCTCAGGCTCCCCAGTAATAACCATTCCCCACCATGTCCCCACAGCCCCTGGCCAAGCGGTGTCATCTGCAGCCTAGAGATGCCGCCAGGCTACCTGAGAGCGCCTGGAAACTTCTGTTCTACTTGGCCTGTTGGAGCTACTGCGCGTACCTGCTCCTGGGCACCAGTTACCCTTTCTTCCATGACCCGCCCTCTGTCTTCTATGGTAAGAATCCTGTGGGACCAGTGCAAAGAACTCTGTGGAGTCTGTCAAGGTAGTACAGGCTACCCTGACAACCCAAGTTCTATCCTTGGGACCCACATGGTGGAAAGGAAGAACTAACTCTTAAAAAGTTGTTCTCTGACCTCCACATGTACACCGTGTCATGCACTCATGGACAGGTGTATACATTCTCCACCCCACCCACCCCTGCTCCTCGTGGAGGGGGCCTAATGAGATATTTCAAGGAAAGTCTTGATATCAGGCCAACCCCACAAGACAAGACTGGCTATGGACCCCTGGAAGTAGAGTGGTCAGAAGAGGGCTTCCATCAGAGGCAGTGCTGCAAGGGCCTGTGCAAAGGCCCTGGGGTGTTATAGGATGATTCTGTGAAGACTCAACTCTTGGCTAGAATTTCAGCTTCAGAGATGGATAAGGGTGGAGATCTGTAGGTGTAAAAATGTACAAAGTGGGAGGGGCTCCTACCATAGGAATTATCAGTGATCTAGGAGGTGCAGAGACATGCTTTCTGAGGGGGACAGGGATAGGCTGAGAGGACTCTTTCTGGTGGTACACAACTAGGACCTTAGGTGACTTTCTCCACATGGAAAGTACCATGCAATTTTTTTCCTATGGAGTCCAGAATGGCCCAAAATTGGGGATGCTACTGCCTCAGCCCCCTAACTGCTAGAATTCAAGGTGCAAATTTGAGTTCAAAAAGGAGTGGCGTTAGTTGCATTCAATGTGCTTTTATGTAGGTAATTCAAGAAAGGATAACTGGTGCCCAGGAGCAGGTAGGTGGAGGGACAGGGACCCTACTGAAGGTTACTTTGGCTGAAGTGTGCAAAGTGAGGCAGTGCAGGTAGGCACATGGTCCTGTTTTGTTGTTTTGTTTGAAACAAGGTCTTCCTGTGTAGCCCTGACTGTCCTAGAACTCACTATGTAGCCAGGCTACCCATAAACTCACAGAGATCTGCCTGCTTCTGCTCCCTAGAGTGCTAGGATGAAAGACGTGCACTGTTGTGGGTAGCTGACAGACCCATGGTTGGCCCATGCTTGAGACAGGGTGTTGTGCATTTACTGTACATCCACAGGTTTTTGTGGATTTTTTTCTGAAGATGAAACCAAAGAGACTCCTGTATACTGGGCAGCATGTCACAGCTGATCATGATCACACATCACTGAGGGATTCTAAGCTGTCCCTCTACTCTTTACTCCTGAGTCACGCCCATAGCCACTCACTGGTCAGTTCAAGGCAGGGACTCTACCCCTGAGCCTCTGCCCCAGGCCGAAGCGTGGTGTACCAGGTCGGCTTGTGCTAGACACAGTCAGGAGGAGGCTCCCAAACCCTCCAGGGGACATCCAGGCTGTTCATAGCAAGAAGTACCAAGGGGACAGTTCAGGGAGGTGGCCTGTGGATATATTAACAGGGACAGGGACCCTACTGAAGGTGACTTTGGCTAAAGTGTGCCAAGTGGGGCAGTGCAGGTAGGCACAGTGTGAGGACTAGGGACTTGCTGGAAGACGGGAACTGTGGGGGGTTTGTCTCCCTCTTTTAAAAAAAATATCTGTTTCTATCAATGTGGGAGGGACACATGTGCATGAAGGTTTTGGGAATTGGTTCTCTCTCCCGTCAAGTGGAGCCCTGAAATGAAAGCCAGGCCATCTGGTTTGGTGACAAGTGCCATTACCCACTGAGCCTTCCTGTGGAACTTTTTGGAATTTTGTACAGGGTCTCATGCAGCCTACGATGGTCTCAAACTTTACTGTGCTTCTGCGTCAGGCCCAGTGCTGGCTGGAGGTCAGAGGTCAACTCTGGAGAGTCACCTCTCTCTTCTACCTTCTGTGGGCTCTGTGGCCAGGATTCTGGTTGCCAGGCATTTGAAGCAAGCATCTTTGCCTGTGGGGCTGTCTTGCTAGCCCTAATGAGTCCTTCAGTGACTCTATTGCTTGGCTGCCTGAGCGGGGGACACAGGTGCCACAAAGGCCCAGACAGATTCAAAAGGACCTTGGGGACAGAGCATGGTGATAGGCGAGAGGCACAAGTGGGGAGCAGTGGGTGGTACAGGGCTTACCAGGGAGGGAGACAAACGCCTGAGTGGGGACTGATATGCCTAGAGGCATGGGAAGGCTGAAGTGGGGGACATAGTCTACAGGCAGGGTCCTCTGTATGAGACCCACCCAGCACAAGTGAGGCCACTGGACCAGGCATCATACAGGAGGCCGCTCTGTCTGCAGGGTGGGCCTGGAGAAATATGGCCAGGCATGATGGCACATACTTGTCATTTCAGACTGAGGCAGGAGCATTGCTATGAGTTCTCAGGCCAGCCTGGGCTACCTAATGATTTTCACACAACAGCAACAACAACAACATATGCTAACAACATGGGGCTGGAGCTGAGGTGGTAGAGCCTGCCCAGAGGCCCTCGGTCCTGTCCGTTTCAATCAGGCTACCTCCACACACACAGCATCCCAGCACTCAGGGAGTGGAGGCAGGAGGATTATGAGTTCAAGATCATCCTCTCTGCGACATAGAGATTTTTGAAGTGAGCTCAGCCTACATGAGATCCTGACTCTGACTCAAACACAGGCAAAGGCTGGTGAGATGGCTCACCTGGGTAAGGTGCTGGCTGCTGAGCCTGATGACCTGAGTTGATCCCTGGGAACCCACAGAGTGGAAAGAGTGGAAACCCTGTCCTCTAACCTCCCCACAGGATCCTGTGACAGGCAGGTGCACACACACGTTCACAATAAATAACCTTCTGGATGAATAGACTCACAGCCTCCCCATGCTGAGCACATGCCGTGAGGCTGTGTGGGGAAGTCTCAGGGGACACAGAGGCCCTGACTGTGCTGGTGACTCTCCCTAGACTGGAGGTCAGGCATGGCCGTGCCCTGGGACATAGCGGTCGCCTACCTGCTGCAGGGAAGTTTCTACTGCCATTCGGTCTATGCCACCATGTACATGGACAGCTGGCGCAAGGACTCGGTGGTCATGCTGGTGCATCACGTGGTCACCCTACTCCTCATCGCCTCTTCCTATGCCTTCCGGTGAGTTCATCAGGAGAGAGCGGGCAGGTAACAGAGGCCGGCTAGGGCTAGTGTGAAAGCGAGGCTCAGGGGTGTGTGAGGCCTGGAGAGGGGCTAGGGACCTATCCCCACTCTCTGCTCCCTTGGGCCTAAGCCTGTGTGACACCCTTTTCAAAAACTCCTTTCACATTTATTTATTTGGGAGGTGGCGTGGAGGTCTTTCAGGATTTGATTTTTCTACCACGTGCGTCCTGGAAATTGAACTCAGGTGTCAGGTTTGGTGGCAGTGGCTTTACCCACTGAGCCATCTCGCCGCCCACCTGTATGACGACTTCCACCCAGACATACAGCAAGGGTCTGACTCAAAGGGGATCCAGAGACAGAGCAGATCTCCTGAAGTTCGAGAGCCCCCGCGTTCCCACCTTCTCAGGGACCGAGACCAGAGCTCCAGGCCCGAGCTACACCACAACACTCTGTCTCTAACAGAATGGAGGCTAAGCTGGGTGCGGGCCAAGATAGGTGAGGCTGTGCATTCAAGGACATCAAGAGCTGTGACAGTGACACCTGACTCAAAGAAGGGGAGCCGAGAAACGGCCCACAGCTAAGAGCACTGTCCTCTCAGGGACATAAGTTTCCGGTCCTTGTCCACATGGTGGCTCGCCTGTGACTCTGCTTCAGGGCACTGACGACACTGCCCACCGCGGTCCCTGGCATGCGCACCCCACACAGACATAGATAACACAGTAAGAGTAAGAGAGGCTCCAGCCGGGGCTCATGGTTAACAGCGTGTGAACTGTTCTTTTGGGGTTTGCTTTTTTGTGTTTATGGGAGTTTTGTCTGCATAGTGTGGGATCCCCTGGAACTGGGGTTACAGGTGTTTGTGAGCCCCCATGTGGGTTTCAGGAACCAGACTGAACCATCTTTCCGGCCTCAGTTCCCAGGACAGTGTTCCAGGAATCTGATACCCTCTCCTGGGCTCTGCAGGTGCTGCCCACAGATACACAGTTATATACACACAATCAAACAACAACGAAAGCCCACCATGTGGGCCTGGGCACATGGCCCTGGCACTGCAGTCTTGGTGTGATTGTCCCCACTCTGCAGGTATCACAATGTCGGCCTCCTCGTGTTCTTCCTCCATGATGTCAGTGATGTACAGCTGGAGTTCACCAAACTCAACATTTACTTCAAGGCCAGGGGTGGGGCCTACCATCGCCTGCACGGACTGGTGGCCAACCTGGGTTGCCTCAGCTTCTGCTTCTGCTGGTGAGAGGGGTGGGCCAGACAGGAGAGTGTTGTGGCTCAGTGGATAGGTAAGGCCAGACAGGAGGGGTGTGCCTTGTTGGATTGTGGGCAAAACAAGGAAAGAGGGGGCGTGGCTTATTGGGGGTCGAGGCATGAATGGTTGGGGTCTGTGGTTGGTAGAAGATAGGGCCATAGAATAGTCCAGGGGGAGAGGCTGATTGGTAAGTCCAGAAAGTCTAGTCCAGAAAGGCCTGTCCAAGCAGGAAAAGGGCAGGGCCTGGCGTGGTGGGGCTGCCAGGCCAAGGCCCTGAGAAAGAAACAGAAGTGGGTCAGGGGACCCTGGGAGTGAGTGACAAATGGATGCTGAGGGCGGCAGGGAGGAGCTGGCAGAAGAGGGGAGCCTGCTGTTCCTCACCCAGTCTTCCTGACGGCCCCTCCCTCCAGGTTCTGGTTCCGCCTCTACTGGTTCCCGCTCAAGGTTCTGTATGCCACCTGCCACTCCAGCCTGCAGTCCGTGCCCGACATTCCGTACTACTTTTTCTTCAACACTCTGCTGCTGCTCCTCACAGTCATGAACATCTATTGGTTCCTGGTGAGTCCCGCCCTCCCGGTCACTCTCAGGCCTGCGAGGGGCCCGTGTGCAGGTGCAAAGGGCCTGTGGCAGCCACAGGATTTCATGGGTGCCTTTTTCTTCCCACAGTACATTGTGGCTTTCGCAGCCAAGGTGCTGACTGGTCAGATGCGTGAGCTGGAAGACTTGAGGGAATATGACGCTCTGGAAGCTCAGACGGCCACGCCCTGCAAAGATGAGTGAGTGAGGCGGAGCCTCAGGCCCTAGCTCCTTCTTTCAGGTGTGGCTCTTCTGGTGTGGCTCCTGAGAATGCTGGCAGCCCTCAAGGAAAGAACCTGAAGCAGAGGCTTGGCTATGTAGCCAGAAATGTAACATCTGGGAATGAACCAGAGAAGCCTGTCAGGGCTGAGAGCTGCTTGCCAGGCCCAAGGAGCGTGCAAGAGGCTGGGTCAGGCCCAGCCGTGAGCTCCAGCTCCCAAAGCACAGCAAACACAGCAAGCACAGGGCTCAGGAGAACGCAAAAACACTGTCTACCTGGCTCTGTTAGCTTGGAGTCTGGGCTTGGCTCAAGCAGGGGACCTCACCAACCCTAATCTGGGCAGACAAACAGGCTTTGCATGCAGACTCCTGAGACAGTATGATTAGCATTAAGCAGAAGCAAGGGCAGGAGGCTGTAGAAAGTTCCAGAAGGTGCAAACCAGCCAGACCTTGGGATGTGTTAGCTCAGATACCATGAGGCAGAAGGTAAAGAAGGAGAGAGCTGGGCAGTGGTGGTACACGCCGTTAATCCCAGTACTTGGGAGGCAGAGGCAGGTAGATTTCTGAGTTCGAGGCCAGCCTGGTCTACAGAGTGAGTTCCAGGACAGCCAGGGATATACAGAGAAACCCTGTCTGAAAAAGTAGAATAAGAGGAAGAGGAGAAGGAGGAAAGGAGGAAAAAGAGGAAGAGGAGGAAGAAGAGGAGGAGGAAAAGAGAGTAGTCAGTGCTCTTAACCACTGAGCCACCCTTCCTCAGTGGTCTTCAACTTTCCCAGTGCTGTGGCCCTTTAATAACAGTTCCTCATGTTGTGGTGACCCCAACCATAAAATTGTTTCATTTCTACTTCATAACTGTCATTTTGGTACTGTTATGAATGGTAATGTAAACATTTGATATCCAGGACCTCTGATATATAACTCCTATGGGTTGAGAACCAGTGCTCTAGACCCTGGACCTAAGTTCTTTTAAAAAGTTATTTGTCCACTTATTTTGTGTATTTGGATGCTTCTCTGCATGTGTGTCAGTGTGTCACTTGTGCACCTGACTCCCACAGAGGTTCCAAGAGAGCCTCTGACCCCCTGGTACTGGAATTACAGACCTTTATGAGTCACAGTGTAGATGCTGGGATTTGAACCTGAGTTCTCTGGAAGAGCAGTCGCTGCTCTTAAGCAGTGCGTGGTTCTAAATTCTTGAGAAGGGAATGGAGTGGGGCTGATGCCATCCACTACTAACCCACTACTGACCCTAGCACTCAGGAGGCTGGGGAAGGAGGATCTCCTTCAGTTCCAGGACAGCGTCAACTACAGAGAAACTGCTTTTCAAGAAAAGACCTATACACACAAATAGAAGCATCTCAGCCCTGCTACCTCTGGGGCTGCAGAAGAAGTTGTTGAGGCCAGAGCTAGCACCAGGGCATAGTGAGTGCCTTAGTCTACTTCCTGCTCCTGTGATAAAACATTGACCAAAAGCAACTGGGAGGAGGGAGGGTTTGAGTTATACATCCCAATCACAGCTGAGCATAGAGAGAAGTCAGTGCAGGAAGCCAAAGCAGAGATCTTTTTGGCTAGCCCTCATTGCCCACTCAGCCTTCTTCCTTCCTTCCTTCCTTCCTTCCTTCCTTCCTTCCTTCCTTCCTTCCTTCCTTTTTTCCTTCCTTTTTTCCTTCCTTCTTTCCTTCCTTCCCTCCCTCTCTCCCTCTCTCCTTCCCTCCTTCTCTCCTTCCCTCCTTCTCTCCTTCCTTCCCTCCTTCCCTTCCTCCCTCTTTTCTTTCTTCCTTTCTTTTTTTCTCCCATTGGTTTTTCGAGACAGGGTTTTATGTGTAGCTCTGGCTGTCCTGGAATTTGCTCTGTAGACCAGGCCTTGGACTCACAGAGATCTGCCTGCCTCTGCCACCTTAGTGCTGAGATTAAAGGTGTGTGCCACCACCTTCAGGCATCCTTCTTATAGCACCCAGAGCCACCTGTCCAAGGGTGGACCCACCTACAGTGGGCTGAGGTCTTTCACATTGATCAATTAATCAACAAAATGTTCCAGACTTGCCTACAGGTTAATCAGATGGAGGTCTATTCTCAGTTGAGGTTCCTTCTTCCCAATGACCTCAGTTTGTGTTAACTTGACAATGGACCATTTGCCAGCTGGACACACAAACACATCAGTAGTAAACCATAACCTTTCCTTTCTTTTTCTCCCCAATATCTCATGTTAATGTTAACTAATGTTAATGTTAGGATTATATAAAACACAGTCCAACTTTTACAAGTTATATTAAACACAGTCCAAGTGTTTAATTTTTTTTAACACTAGGCATGGTGGCACATGCCTTTAATCCCAGCCAGAAGTCAGAGTCAGGTAGATCTCTGTGACTTCACAGCCAGGCTGGTCCACACACTGAGTCCCAAGCCTGATAAGGATACTTAGTGAGAGTTTTTCTCAAAAAGCAAACAAGTCAAGTGGTGGTGGTATACACCTTTAATTCCAGCACTCAGGAGCCAGAGGCAGGTGAATTTCTGTGAGTTTGAGGCCAGCCTGGTGTGTGTGATCCCCAAGGTAGACAGGGCTGCACAGAAAAACCCTGTCTAGGAAAAATAAATTAATAAAAACAAAAAACTTCATCATTTAAAAGTTCAACCACGCCGGGCAGTGGTGGCACATGCCTTTAATCCCAGCACTTGGGAGGCAGAGACAGGCAGATTTCTGAGTTCGAGGCCAGCCTAGTCTACAGAGTGAGTTCCAGGACAGCCAGGGCTACACAGAGAAACCCTGTCTCAAAAAACCAAAAAAAAAAAAAAAAAAAAAAGTTCAACCACTCTTAAATTTATTTGAAGTTTCTTAATTGTGGACTCCTATAAATTCCTTACTTCAAATTGGAAGAACCAGGACACACACACAATCAAAGTGGACCAAAACCAAATTCCAGTGGTGTAAATGAAATCTGAACCTCAATGTCACACATCTGGGACTCACTCAAGATCTTCTGGACTCCAAAGGGCTCGGGCAGCTGCAGCCTGTGGACTTTGCCGTACACAGCACACAGCTCCTGTTGGCTCCACTCTGCTTGCCATCCCATGGCAAGGACTCTCCAACATGCTGGCATCGCCACCTTCACCAGTGACCCTCTCATGCCTTCAAACCAGCACCACACGTGAGACTCTTGCAGCTGACAAGGAAGGTGACCCCCTCTGGACCACAGCTCTTGTGTCCTGACCCTGAGGAAACAGTCTTAGGAAGACTTCACCTCAATGATGCTGGTCTCAGTCGCAGTTGATTCTCAGCCCCCACTGACCAGAAAGTGATAATCCCATCAGGCAAGAATAAGACCACTACCACAATTTTTGAACCAAATTTGAAGCAAGCTTTATTCTGTTCTGGCCAGGATGACAGACACTGGTCAGGTCCATACCTGGGATTCCCAGAGAATAGTGCTGAATTAGGTTACCTAGGTGCTTATAAGACAAAACCCATTAGGCTACACACTTCCTCCCTTCATCCACTGAGGGCAAGCATATGGCAAGTGGGGCTTACAGGTTAGACGCATCACTGTTTTGTAGGTTTCTTAAGCACAGTAATTTCAACTTAAAACGTAACTTTAGCCCTCACAAAACCTCATCTCTGTAGCTCAAAAGATTTTACAGCCCTGATAAGAGTCGCTGGTCTTCGTGTTTGTCACTGTGGCTAGATGGCAGCAAGCCCCACGGTAGCCACAGCAAAAGCTCATGTCCTGAGGAGCTGCAGGCATTCAACAGAAAGCACAAACTCGAGGTCGGGTGAGGCCTAAAGCAGTGACCGCTAGCTTCCAGGACATGCTGTCTCTAGAAAAGCTGCAGCTTTTAATTCTTCCCACACAGTGGCACCAACTGAGGACCAAGTGTTCAGGTATACAGGGTGCCGAATGAATGCAGGGGCCCAGGACGGGTGTGTACTGCTGCTCTGAGTGTGAAAACTGAGCCAGAGGATGAGGGCTGAGTGAGCCTGCTGGAGGGACAGCCAGTCTGTCTTGCTCTGATGTAGGCAAAAACCTCAAAGTCAAAGGGCCACTGAAGCAGCTGGCTTGGGAAAGCATTAGACCAAAGAATGAGTGAACTCAGGCTTATGGCTTAAACTGCTGTTTGTCTAGATGGAGTTCAAAGTGGGGGAGGGGTTCATTTGGGGTGTGTTGACTTGAAGTGATATCTTTTTGTTTTTTCTTTTTTCTTTTCTTTTTTTTTTGTTTTTTTGTTTTTTTTTGTTTTTTCGAGACAGGGTTTCTCTGTATAGCCCAGGCTGTCCTGGAACTCACTCTGTAGACCAGGCTGGCCTCGAACTCAGAAATCTGCCTGCCTCTGCCTCCCAAGCGCTGGGATTAAAGGTGTGCACCACCACTGCCCAGCTTGTTTTGTTTTTCAAGACAGGGTTTCTCTGTATATCCCTGGCTGTCCTGGAATTCACTATGTTACTCTGTAGACCAGGCTGGCCTCCAACTCAGATTCATCTGCCTCTGTCTCCCAAGTGTCAACTACCACCACCCAGCCCTTAAAGTGACATGTTTAATGTGAGGTCTGTAGAGAGATGGTGAGGACATATTAAGGAAGCTTCTAGAACATTCTAGAGGTTTCCACAAGGCTTAAGAGAACGGGGTTGAGAGACACTTAACCTTGTATGAGGCTGGAAGGCCTGCTTGCTACAGAACTCACATACAGAGTAATGCTTGGGAATGCAGCAGCACCTCGGGCCCTGAGGGCCTGACCTCTTTCCCTGGAGCCACCTGCTCTGCCTCATTTAAGGAAGTTCGTGGCATCCCCTCAAAGCACAAACTGCACAGAGATGAGGGATACCAGGGACCCCTGCCAACTATAGCTCCCTGTGCCCGTCCCTCACGAGCTGACTACTGAAGGCTGGGAAGGGTAGAGGCAGAAACTGCTGGGCTTTTCCCTTCTTAAGGGAACCTCAGTCTGGCCAATACCTCCTGCAAGAATTGCTTGACCAATCAGGTTGCCATTCTCTGAGTGACAGGGAGAATGAAATTTACTGTATTAGTTAGAAACTCTAGTGTCTGGTACGGTGGTCTATGCCTTTACTACCAGCACAGGTGAAGCAGAGGCAGAGAAAGGTGCATCTCTGAGTCTGAGGTCAACCTGTTCTACAAAAGGAGCTCCAGGTTAGCCAGGTCCACAAAGCGGGATCCCATCTCAAAAAAGAAAGCCTAAAACTTCTCATAACTGGGTCTCAGGGTGCAGCTCCACCATAGAGTGCAGCCGAGGTCTGCCTTCCACCCCCAGCACTGGGGGAACCTTTCAAACTTTGCCAGAGATTCTGAGTGCCCGGAAGGGAGTTTGTGGGTAGAGGAGGGACGTAGCGAAGCGCCATGGCAGGGACGGTCTGGGTGGGAACCAGGGAGCGAGTGCTGTTTGGCAGGGACCCTAGTCAATGCTACCTGTCTGGGGAGGGAAGAGGGCCCTTGTGGAGGTGGAAGTAGGGGAGGAGGATATTCAACAGGGAGAGAGAAGCATGAGCTTCCCGGACTAATCTGTCTCTACTTCTGGCCCCCAGGAAGCCGCTGAGGAATGGCCTCGTTAAGGACAAGCTCTTCTGAGTCTGTCCTCAACTCCCGCCATCCAGGACTCTGTCTCATCCTACCTGGGATACTGGCCCCGCCCCTGGAGACTCAACCCAGTCCCTGGAGGTCTGTTCCCACCCTTGGAAGCCTGACCCCGCCTTTGGCGGCATGGCCTCGCCCCCAGGACAGTGGCCACGCCCTAAGATGCCACCCTTCTCCAGGGACTCTGGCTGCCCGCAGCTCCGCCTTTCACATCAGTTCTCGACCACCCACCTTGGGACCGCCTCCCAGTCCTGCCCTCTGGATCAGTGGGGTCCGGACACGCCCCCTCCAGGACCTCAAAGCACCCCCGACCTACGGTCACCAGCCCACTGGTCCTGGACACAGTGGGCTCCGCTGACTCTTTTGGACACCGCCTGGGAGGAAAATGCTCCCTGTCTGCCACCGTTTTTGCGACCACCTCCTCCTTCTGCTCTTGCTGCCCTCGACGACCCTGGCCCCCGCGCCAGCATCATTGGGCCCCGCTGCCGCCCTGCTCCAGGTTCTCAGGCTTCCGGAAGCGCCCCGGAGCGTCCCCACGCTCCGACCTGTGCCTCCTGTCATGTGGCGCCTATTCCGCCGCCGCGACCCCCAGGAGGCCAGAGTGGGGCGCCCTCTGCGACCATGCCACGTGGAGGAACTGGGGGTCGCCGGAAACATCGTGCGCCACATCCCCGACAGCGGTGAGTAGGGGGTTGGACAAGGGTCCATGAGGCTGAGGGTTCCCCACACGATCTGTCCAGACTGCTAGCGAGCTGGGACCCTGTTTTCTTAGTCCTCTAAAAGCAAGGACACATGCCGGCGGCTTCCCAGTGCCCAGTCTTTGCCCTGCCCCCACCCCGCCACTTCATATCCTTTGATGCCTTCCTTCAGGTCACTTTTCTGGGCCTCGAGGTAGTGGCTGGCACATCTCCTGCCCATGTCTGCAACTGTAGGCACGGCCCCCCACAGTGCCCCTTCCTTGCAGCGGGTGCCCTGCCCCCACCCCATCCGTCAGTGGGGTTCCTGAGTCTCAGAGCTTCCCTTCCTCCTTGTCTCAGCCCAACCCGTTTGCTGGGACATCGCGCCATGTCTGCTCTCCTTGCACCTCCAGGTCTGTCCTCCAGGCCCGCACAGCCCGCCAGGACTTCGGGGCTGTGCCCTGGGTGGACCGTCGTCTTTGACCTGTCGAGCGTGGAGCCCACAGAACACCCAACACGCGCGCGCCTAGAGTTGCAGCTGGAGGCTGAGAGCGAAGATACAGGAGGGTGGGAGCTAAGCGTGGCACTGTGGGCTGAGGCCGAGCATCCCGGGCCTGAGCTGCTGCGCGTGCCAGTGCCACCCGGGCTACCACTGCGCGCAGACCTACTGGGGATTGCAGTAGCCGCCAACGCATCGGTGCCGGGCACCCTGCGCCTGGTGCTGTCACTGCACCCTGGGGCCACTACAGCCTGTGGGCGCCTGGCTGAGGCCTCGTTGCTGCTGGTGACTCTGGACCCGCGCCTGTGTCCCTTGCTGCGGTCGCGGCGCCACACGGAGCCCAGGGTGGGAGGTGGTCCAGTGGGCACATGTCGCACCCGACGGTTGCATGTGAGCTTCCGTGAGGTGGGCTGGCACCGCTGGGTGATCGCGCCGCGCGGCTTCCTAGCCAACTTCTGCCAGGGCACGTGCGCGCTACCCGAAACGCTGAGGGGACCCGGCGGGCCGCCTGCACTCAACCACGCTGTGCTGCGCGCGCTCATGCACGCAGCTGCCCCTACCCCAGGTGCAGGCTCGCCATGCTGTGTGCCAGAACGCCTGTCGCCCATCTCCGTGCTCTTCTTCGACAACAGTGACAATGTGGTGCTGCGCCACTACGAGGACATGGTGGTGGATGAATGTGGCTGTCGCTGACCACCCGGGACACCCTTTTAGGGACGGCCCCACACGAAAGCAGGGACTGTTTGTTCATGTTTTATTGGTGACAAAAAGCTTAAAACAAATTTGACTAAAAATTAAGTTCCATTGCGTTGGCGCAGGTGTGCCTGGGTAAGGGTTGGGTGGCTGCCACGGGAGGTGGGGGTCCGGGGCAGGGCGTCCAGCAATGAGGCCTCTACCCACGATGGGGAAGAACCCGCGGGCCGTGCTCACGAGTTCGCCTGTGGCCTCCGAAAGCTCAAACTCAAAACAAATCCTCCGGCTGCGGTGCAGGCGGTGATCCCAGGCTGTGGGGCTCTCGGGTTTCTCCGCGCCACCTCTCCAGAAGCTCCTCGCATCTCCCAAGTGCAACAGTCAGGTCTTAGAGACAAACTGATCCAAGCACTTCCCATACTCCTTTAAAGAATCTTTGAGGGGGAGAAAAAAGGAAAGAAAAAAAAAAAACAAAAACAGAAAAACCCCAAACACCGTATTTTCTTTAAATGAAACCCCTTAGCGCTGGGACCGCGCGCTGATGCTCCTGGCCGCCCGCTTGGGCACAGAAACGCTTAGTTCGTCCTGCTAAAACGTAGCCCCTCAATCACGAGAAACAAAGAAAAAGAACAGCGGGGCCGGTCCTGGCGAGGCCTCTCCCTCTGGCGGGCACGGCGCTGGGCCGGCCTCGCAGCAGTGCGGGCCTCTCTCCTCTCGCCGCCCGCAGGGGGCGCCCGCTCCTTGGCGCTCCGCTCTGTCGTCCTCCCTGGCCGCTCTCTGCTCGCTCTCGCTCCTCTTTCCTCTCCTCGGCTGCTCACACAGTGGTGCTTCAGTTTTAGCAGTGGAAAACAGGTATCCATTTATTTTTATTTTTTATTACCCAGAATAAGATGCTGATAGACTAAGCCACATAGCTTAGCTCTTCCGCCGCTACCTGTAATCAGGGACAGGGTTAGAGATGTCAGGGCCAGCAGAGGCAGGACCTGCCAACACTCCACATCTACTGGCCGAGTCTGCCTGGGAAGACCACTTGCCTTCTAGTACTGGGACAGCCCGGTGACCCCGCCGTGCTGGTATGCCCGCTCTCCCTGGTATGTGGAGTCTTGTGAGAGTGCCACGTCAATCTGTGATTTAAACTCATCACCGAGGTAGCTGTCCTGAAAGGCAAAGGTAGTGTGAACATGGCCAGGAAAGTCCACAGCCACCCAGTCTTCAGACCCCAGAGACCAGAAAGAGACCCCATACTGCAGCCTGAGCGGCAAGGTGCCAGGCTCAGATCCACAGCACAGTTGATGTCACTCACCCTTCAGAAAGCAGTGTGATGGTCTCAAGTGTCCCCTCCCCCCACCCCCTTTCTCTGCAGGATGATGGTGCAGGCCCACCTGGGACAGTTCTGGCTGGGAGAGGCCAGGCTGGCTCATCTGGGAGGGCTGGCTCATGGACACATAGCCCTGTGTGAGGGCACCCTGAGAAAAGGGCTGCGAGGCCACGTCCTGGCTGGCCTGGCTGTTGGGAAGGGTGGTCTGGCTGGGCCCAGGAAGCCCAAAGCGGTTCTTCTGGCGGCCCCCACGGCCAGTCTTGGTTTTTGGGGTGCCCCGACCTGAAAGACAGCAGTGAAATATAGCAAGCTCTACCTGAAGCTAGGAGAGGAGCCAGGGCAATGGCGAGAAACTGCTTACCGGCAGCCGGGCCGTTGGCCTGTCCGAAGTACCCGGGTGGTGGCATGGGTGGCATGACCAGGTTGAAGGGAATGGGTATGTTCATGGCTGCCACATGGCTGGGGCCTGCGCTGATCATGCTGATCTGGTCATGGGTCTGGAAGTACATGTTCGAGGGCCGGCCTGCAAAACACTTGGATTCAGAGGCAGGGCTCCAGTAGACACTGGCTGCTGTGAACTAGTGCTGGGCCAGCCAGCCAAGTAAGACAAGCAAAGGGAGGTCGAGTGTGTCTGACATGCAGGTAGACGGGTTGGTGAGGATCTGGCCAGGATGGAACTTTCTAGGCAACTTGGGAGCTTCCAGAAAGCAGAGGCCAGCCTGGCTGAGGTAGATACCGGTTTGTCGCAGGATACAAGGGCAGCAGCAGACAGGTGGCCCCAGCAGTTCTCAAGGGACCGTGGTCCAAACCACTAGCAGAGGCCAGGCCAGCCCTTGGGGACCTGGTTGGAGACGCTACAGACACCTACTGGACAAGCTCCAGGTGGAGGCCACCCACGGGGTGACAAGTTCAGACTGGAACATGGGAAGGTAAACACACTGGTGCTTGCCAGGAAGGCTCACCCTGGCTGCTGCGGTCATAGACAGATCCGGGGATGATGGCCTCACGGGCATCATACATGGCAGTAGTCATGAAGCGGGCCCCCTGCAGGGTGGCACAAGAGCGAGGAATGTGTCAGTCAACAGCAGCAGAGGCTAGGAGCGCCCAGCTTTCCCAGGTCCCAGGCCAGCCCCCACCCCCCCGCCCTCCTGCCCCCCCACCCCCCCACCCCTGCGCACCGGGTTAACGGTGTTGACAAGTTTGCGCGGCTTGCTGAACTGCATGAGACTCTCCCGGAGGTTGTTGAGCGGCCCTTCCACTAGCGCCTTCTGCTCCTTGTAGTAGCTCAGCAGGTGGTTCCACAGGGGCTGCTTCGACAGCGCCTTTGGGTTACCCACAATGATCACGCCATATCTGTGGGGCAACCGACACGCTGAGCCCATGGCCATACCCACTCCACTCCACTGTCTAGGGTTAGCACCTTAGAGAGCTGAATGCTAGGGACTGAACAGCACTGGCCAACACACGAGGTGGCACTTGAGCAGCAGAGAGAGCTCTAGGGTGATTTGCAGCTCTCCATGCTGACCGTGAGCTCAGCCTGTGTCCTATAGGATCAGACAGCTGATCAGAAGGGCAGCAAATAGGCCATAGTGCCCAGTTCTCAAGACAGGGTGCCAGCATGCACATGTACTTCCAGGACAGACACGGGTAAAATGGGTCAAAGCAAGGGGTTTCTTGTCTTGGCTGGAGGGTGGATGGTAGCAATGGGCAGTGGCCTACCTTGCTCTGGTGAGAGCCACATTGAGACGCCGGGGGTCGTTTAGGAACCCAATACCCTGGTGTTCATTGGCCCGCACGCAGGACAGAATGATGAAGTCCTTCTCCCGGCCCTGGAAGGCGTCTACACTGGCAATCTCCACTTCCTGAATGA